TAGGGATTATACATAACACTACCATGCTTCTTAAATATACACAATGACTGTATAAAATAAAAAATTTAAAGCTCTTAAAAAAATAGGCGATAGCAACGAAGGAAGCCATAAGAGTTATTTATTAAAATATATTTTTAATCTTTAACTCCGATAAAAATATATAACCTTCCGAAGAGGTCATGTAACTAGACTTTAATGAAAAAAAAGGCCATTTAGCACGTAATAAACTTTTATTCGTTTAAAAACGTGTTACAAAACAAAATATTTAATGAACATCAATAATTATGTCGCGGTAATCATAAAATTTCTCCAATGTAACGATATACCTTAAAGCATTCCCGCTAAGGTTCAAATTCGAACATTAAATAGACGTTCGTTCGTAAAGACAACAAAAACAGGTTCCATTGAGTTATAAATTTTAAAATCATCTGATCACAGTTTTTGTTCCGACAACACCTATGAGCCATTAAATTTTTAATCATGTATTGAATGGGTGATATATTAGTAACGAACTTTGTTTATTACATGACGTCAATGAAAAAGTAATGAAGATTCTCAAAAAAAATTTTTATTAGGTGTCCTATGAACCTTGGCTAATTATTGCGTCAATCGAATTATTCTTTCGACTGTCCCAACGTAAAGTCGGGGATGTGGCACTTAGGTGATTTTTACTTTTTTATTTTATTGTCTTCCGTAATGGAGGTTAGTCGGCTAATGAAAGAAAGGTGCAATAATTTATTGATATATCGAAGTATGACAAACACATAAGTGTCACATACTTAATCATACGTCTGAACAACACTACGAGGAAAACATCATCAATTTTTGCAAATAATGTGAAAGGGCTCTTCATTTCATTCATCATCATTATCAGCATATTAATGTCCCCACTGCTGGGGCACAGGCCTTCCCTATGGATGGAATAGGGAGATTGGGCCATGACCCACCACGCCCAGTGCGGATTGGTGGGTGCTAAAGACTGCAGATGCAGGCGGGACCAACGGCTTAACGTGCCTTCCGAAGCACGGAGGAGCTCGAGATAGTAATTTTTGGTCACCCATCCAATGACCGACCACTGCGAAAGTTGCTTAAGTTCAACGATCGCAGCCGAACGCGCTAACCACTTGCGCCATCGAGCTCCTCGAAAGGGCTCTTAATTCCAAGTTATTTTGCGAGTTTGAACAATATTGCATGTACATTTTTAGATTTACAGAAGAATTAACTTTCCAACCGCTGCCCTGAATTTTTTTTTAACATAAGATCGCAATAGGAGTCGCAGCTTTAGTCATATCCATTGCTAAGTCCGCTATTCTTATAACTCTTTGCCCAATTAATTTTTTTAGTGTAACGCACAAGGCATACAAAAAATCATTCAATCAAATTTTATTCTTCATATTAACGACCTCACAAAAGTAATAACATCATTCTGACTCAGCAGTTTAAAATCAATACTCACAGGGTCAGGTTTACCGTTCTCATAAAAACAGTAACGGATTTAGATGGTATGGGAAAAGTTGAAGTCCCGGGATAGTACATAGATAGTTTATATACCAGAAATTATAACTTTAAGAGAGTGAAAAGGAGGATAGAAGTTTGCATGGAAAACCAGTTTTACGTCGGAATCGCGGGCTCCATCTAGTAGTGTTACATGTGTTAGACGAAATAACCGAACTTCAATCGAAGAAGAAATAGCAATAGGGGTGATGAAGAGGTACAGTAAACGAAATTCTATTTAGTCCGTCAGTTAGATGATCAAAAAATAATGGACACGTATTTTTTCTTTGGGCAATCAACCAAAAAATGACAAAGTTGTAGCGCATCAAAGTTTGGGAGTAGGGGCTCGTGACGTCACTTTTGAGTAAATTTTCACTTAAGTGTACTCAAACATGACGTCATACGACTTTTCAAATCAATATATCTCTGCAATATTTATATTAGGTGAAAAAAGGAAAAATACGTGTCCAATACTTTTTGATAATCTACCTGATAAACGAAGAAAAAAAAAATTAGTCATCATCCCTATTAAATTCTGTACAAGACCAAGCCCAAGTCCCATGCAACTTACGTCTACGTACATACGTCTTTCAATCTTAGTTTTAGTTCCATTTTCGATTCTGAAGTCGGTTTTATTATTTGTCTAAAAAAAAATATTTCATCCATTTTAGTGAAAATTACATCGTTCAAGTAAACAATAACACAATTGTCGGAGAAATCGGTGAACATGCATAAAAAAACATCGTGCGTGCCTTTGAAATTTGAAGGTTTCCCTCTATTTCCCCGGATTCCACCATCAGATCCTAACTTAGTTCCAATGGGACCACCTCGAAAGTGCACTCTTTCGAATAAAAAAAGAATTTTGGAAATCGGCCCACAATTGACGAAGAAATCGGTGAACATACATAAAAAAAAATAAAAAAAAAATATATATATACAGTCGAACACAGAACCCCCTCCTTTTTTGAAGTCGGTTAATAACCACTTAAAAAAAATGGTTTTAAAGCTTATTTTAAAAGAGTATATTGCAGGTGAAAATGTACTGAGTTACATACCGCGCGGGTTTGACAAAAACATCAAAAATACATAATTATGTTAATAACTGTTGCACAACAACTAAGTGACGTAAAATTTAGCATTGGATAAGTTCAACTTGTTATCCGGAAATGTTCAGTTTCTTATTAAAAACTAGGTTACGATAGGTTTCCAAAATTACAAGTATTTTTACTTTTTTCAATGTCAACGCGAATTAATTTCATCATTGACCTTACTAAACTTAAGGCTTTGCATAAATCAATGTTATACTGTAGTGATTAAAATGATTGATGAGTGTTTTATAAATTTTCATTGAGGGAAGACATCACAAGTATACAATAAGATGGATATCAGCTAACTTCCATCCCATTGTACAAGGTCGAGGGAAAAGACATCGTAAAATAAAAAAGATTTTATTTTTAATTTGATCTTTCCATTTACTGCTTAAGACTTTTCAGCACTTTTCTTTAAAACTATGACATAAACAATACACTTTAAAGTTAATATGACATAAACAATACACTATAAAGTAACTATGACATAAACAATACAAATTCAATAATACAAATATTTGCAGTGTATTGTTGTACTGTTAATTTGTGAGTGTCGTAATAACAGTTTTATTTTTTTACGCATGTATGTCAAGCTGCACTTGTGTGTATATTCCCCCAACAAAAAATGGCAGAATGGCTATGTCTACTCACCTCCGTGTTTCTCTATGTTTGGAACTAAAAACGCCCTTGTAAATATGTGTATCAGTGACAAATAATAATAGTTTGTTTTCGTCTTATTTCATAATAGACGTTTTTGGCTTCAAGCCATGTTTTCTAGTGCGATGTGAGAACGGAAAACCTGTGACGTCATTTTGCAGTATCACACGGGCGGCTCGTTATGTCAGACGTATTGAAACTATTGCGCGTCGAAAATGATCCTTATTGTGTTCCAATTAGGTAAATAATGGGTACGAGATGTAGTGATGTGTTTGTTTTGGACCGGGGGTAGATAGAATATGATCAGATTTGGGAAAATATACAGGAAAGGAACCTTTTTATTTTCACTAGCTGACCCGTGTTGTGTCGTCTAACTGTCGATGAATGTGATTAATTTGAGGAAAAATTTGATAGTGAGTCAAACTTAAATCAGAAATTAATATATCTTTATTCAAATTGGATGTATAGTACAACACTTTTGAAACGTCCAAATTTTTTCTCCCTACCACTTACATACATATTTTTGAGCTGCGGAGAAAAACGAGCGAAAAAAACTCCACAATATTAAGAGTATAATGTAACAACATTTACAAATCATTATGTTGTTACTGCGTCAATACAATCATGATTTATTTAATATAGAAAACCTGTTGGAATGATTGGAACAGTTCAAACCCAAGCATTTTTGTCTGTAATATAATCAGACATAAGTGCTTTTTATATACTATTTTTGAATTTATTTATGGCTAACTCTTGGATATTTGTTTCTTAGGTTTTCACGCACATCACTCATTAAATAAAACTAGTTTTTACGGCCGTAAAAACTAGTTTTATTTAACTCTTGGATATTGCGATAGCGCGTTACGAGAAGTGTATTCGGGCAAGGGTGTTGAGTGGGGGATATAAGCAAGAGAAAGCAGTGCGCGCGCACATTTTCTTTCTCTCTTTCTCTCATAGCTAGTATTTATTTTATCTATTTATTTGATCACCAACAAAGTTACACTTAGACCTTTTTTTATTTACACATTTATAGTAAAACACTTTATTAATGGAACTTTAATTATAGGCGATTACGACATGGAATATACACTCCACTAGCAATTAAATCTTATAAAATTTTAATAATTCATTACAATAATTACATTAATTTTAATACAAAGCAATTTTGAATAAAAATAAAATTTCAAAAGTGGCAATAATTGAAAAACAACAATAAAATAAATTAATGAAAAAACTATGTAGGCACAACCAAACAAAGATTTTATTCTTATGGCAGCGCCATCTCTTCGAATTGTAGCTAACCCACAGTGTCAAATGAATACTCTTTCAAGTATTAAACATTTGAAAGAAGAAATAGCAATTAAATAACAAGCGGACCAGATAGCGGACGGGACTCGAACCCGCACCCTTCGCAATCCGGGCGAATGCACTGACCAATTATGCTACCACGGCCCTGATGGCCGCGTCTCCTTGCAGCTTAAGGCTAGGAAAATTTCGACGCGGCCATCAGGGCATTATTAGTAATGCATTCGCCCGGATTGCGAAGGGTTCGAGTCCCGACCGCTGCCGGTCCGCGTGGATTTTTTTCTAGTAAAAAAATTATTTTGATTTAAACATCTAGCAGTTAAATGCTTAAAAAAATAAAAATATAACTATATTGAAAGTTTCAGTTGCATCAAGGTTTCATTAAAACCACGCCCATATTTTTATGAAAGTGAACAAGTGAACAGTGTTTTTTCAACATTTCTTCTTTGGTTCCAGGTCTGTTCCTGTTTCTGATGCTTGGCTTCTTCGCACTAACAGCCGGCTGTTTTGTCTTGTTCCTACATCCATACGACTTCTTGTTCAGACAGGTAAGTGAACATAATTGTTATATCTAAAGAAAATTTTAATAGAAAAAGCACCACGCAGACTAGGCAGCAGACGGGACTCGAACCCGTAACCTCGGCTATCCGGGCGGATGCACTGACCATTATGCTACCTCGGCCCTAATTGTTTGTGTCGAATTTTCTCTAATATTTCTTATGCTGCAAGCCAACGCCATCCTTTAGCATTGTAGGTCCAACAAAATCTGGCAGTTAAATGCTTAGAAAAAAATATCTTATATATAAAATTCTCGTGTCACAATGTTAGTCACCATACTCCTCCAAAACGGCCTGACCGATTTTTATGAAATTTTATATGCATATTCCGTGGGTCTGAGAATCGGCTACTAGCTATTTTTCATATCCTTAAGTGATAATGGTTGTCCACCTGTAACATAGTGTTCTGAAACCTACAATGCGCCTTCGCGCCAAAATTCAAACTATTGGGTATTGTAACGTAGTGTTCTCATATGGGTTAGGAGGAATGTTATCCCAGGAAATTGATAGAACACTAAAATTTTTTCTGGACAATATATATTTTTTTATAATGTGGTATTAAAAAATACATACAACCCTAAATTTTCTCTTCTACCACCTGCCTCTATTTTTATGGCGGTACGAAGTTCGCTGGGTCAGCTAGTATAACTATAATTTTGTTGTATATTTATTTTTTTAGCCTTTAACTACTAGGTTTCAATCTAAAGAAAATATTACTTGAGAAAATCCACTCCGACCAGGGGGACCAAAATCTACTCTCTTTCTCCTAAACGAACTTTCAATAACGAAGTTCAAACGAAAAATTTCGTGATGACCCACTAGGCAAGGTTACACTCGCGTGTTATCCAACCTGACCCCACTACCCACTCTCATAGAGCTCTGGAACCATAGCTTATAGTTTATTTTTCCTTCTCTTTCAAAGAAAGTGGTGTTACAAGATGGCGGTGAAATATTCGAGATGTGGAGGAAGCCAGAAGTGGATTTATACTGCAGAGTATACCTGTTCAATGTCACCAACGCAGAAGAATACATGGCTGGCAAAGAAGATAAGATCAAGGTGAAAGAAGTTGGGCCTTATGTGTACAAGTAAGTTACATCTTAATAATATTATTAAATGGCCGCAGACAGCGACCTAGTTCTTTTAATTTTTTTTTTGAAAATCCCCCAAGAACCTTAGATTTTTTCGGGTTAAAAACTATCTGTTGTCCCAATCCAGGTAATAAACTATATGTGTGCCAAATTTCATCTGAATCCGTTCAGCCGTTTTTGCGTGATTGGGTTACAAACACACAGCCCCAAAAACATTACAAACTTTCACATTTTTATTATTAGCAGGGTGTGACAATATTCATGTCATTTAACATACACATGCCAAAATTGGTACTTTATTTTTCATACTGTCAAACAGCCTAGTCGCGAGGCGAGGATATCTTTTATGTACATACTTACATAAATAGAAAACTTTACTTAAAATGCAGACAATTTCCGAAGCAATTAAAAAATCGCTCCTCATACAATCTACTATATAAAAATAAGTCGGGTTTTCCTTCCTGACGCTATAACTCCAGAACGCACGAACCGATTTCCACGGTTTTGCATTCGTTGGAAAGGTCTCGGGCTCCGTGAGGTTTATAGCAAAGAAAATTCAGAAAAAATTTCAAAAAAAAATCTTCTTTTAATCACCAAACGAAATGTTACATAAAACGAAGCCATCTGGTGGCGAAACGGAGTTCGCGGGGTTTGCTAGTGTTGTATATAAATAGTTAAATACTTTACTTAAAATTCAGACAATAGGGTATTTGACAGTATTAAAAATAAAGTGCCAATTGTTAGCATCTGTGTTTAGAATGAATATTGGCTGGGGTTTTAACTATTTTTACAAACTAAATATTCATAATTTTACTAACAACCCACGAAAAAGATAATAGTTTTCTTATCTATTGTCACGTGACCCAAAACGCTTGGGATTGGCGGAACCTAAAATGACATCACACGCAAGTAAATTTCCGGTTAGAGTGACATTACATTGTATCGTTTCACGTTGTAATAACAGTCGTGTGACGTCACACACTAGTAAGACGCCATATTGTCCAGAAAAACGTTTTCGCGGCAACTTGAAAATGGAGTTTTGATTTGGTTATTTTTATTGAAATACACAACAGAATGATGGATATCCACTTTTTACGGACTCCATAAACATTAGTCAATAACGTGAGATCGTTTTCTAAAACTAGTGAAATACCCTATTTCCTAAGCAATTAAAAAAATCGCTCCTCATTCAATGTTGTATATAAATAGTTAAATATTTTTCCTAAAATGCAGACAATTTCCGAAGGAATTAAAAAATCGTTCCTCATACAATGTTGTATGATGTTATCTATCTGTACGTATGTTGTACAAACGTGATGTGTTTAATTGAAATTATATACAATTAGATGAGTTGTATAAAAATTTAGTTCCTGGATTAACTGTTTCTTCTTGTATATAAAATTATGATAGGTGTTTAGTTCAAACCAAACATTTAATTACGTGTCAAATTATAATTTTATTTATTACTAGTGGCCCGCCCTCGCTTCGCTTCGGTGTAGAGCTGTAGTGTAAACTATAGTTTTTATTCTCAGGCTTGTGCTATATACAATGACTTTATTTATATAATTACACGTGTTATTGTGAGTCAACCATAAAAGATAGACATATGCTGTTGCGGGATATTTTTAGACAATTTTATGTAGAATATTTCCGTCATACATGATTTCTATGTAACTTTAACCATTAAGGCTGCACACGCAACGGAAGCTTAAAAAATGGAGTAACTTCTCCCATTTTCCCAACATTTCCCTTCACTACTCTGCTCCTTTTTACTGTAGCGTGATAAAAAGTATACTATAACCTGCCCAGGCGTATGAAAAATAATTGTACCAAGTTTTGTTAAAATCCGTTGAGTAGTTTTTGTTTCTATAAGGAACATACACACAGACAGACAGACAGACAAAAATTTTACTGATTGCATTTTTGGCATCAGTATCGATCACTAATCCCCCCCTGATAGTAATTTTGAAAATATATTTCATGTACAGAATTGACCTCTCTACAGATTTATTATAAGTATAGATTAAAGAAAATATGTAATTTTATTAGAGTAAGCAAATCAGGAGCTCTATTTTTGAATCACTCGCCTTGCGTCGAACGCTCGATTTCTACCAATTTTCATTCGACATAATTAATTCCGTATTTTTGAATCGCTCGAATGCAACGAATGGGTGATACCACTCATTGCATGGCAAATGGTAGAGGCGAATGATAGAATAAATGTAATTTTTTTTTATATTAGACGACGATAATCTATCCTTGTCATGCTTTATATAAAACGACAAGGGCAGACTGTTATTATGTTTCTTTTTCTTTTAATATGACACGACGGCTAATGCATGTCAAGTTCACAAACAGCAATCACGAATAGCTAAGTGAAGTGCCGGCATAGTAAACGACAGTATACAATTGTATTAATTAACGGTTTTTATTTTTTCTGCGTGAAATGAGTAAAATTTTATATTTCGTATTAAACTGTTAACACCGGTGACGATTCAAAGAAACGGAAAATCAGTATCATGCGGCTTGAAAGTCGAAGGTGACATAAGTCGCATGCGACGATACTTCGTCAGACGAGTGATTCAAAAATAGAGCTCCTGTTCACGTGCGGACGTCGTATGTACCGCGTGTGCTAATAAACATATCAGTTTCAACATAATCGGTATTATCAATTTATCACCAAACTATCATTTAACTATAACTAATATTTGAGTCGTATAGTATCAAAGGCGGCAAAGTAAGTAGATTTTCAAAAATGAGATACGAGTATGGTAACACAGGAAATTTAAAAACAAATCTTAAAAATCTCTCATTCAGTATTACAGATGACCATAATACCCTTAAAAACTAGTTTGAAAACACAATTTGGTTTCAAAGATTTAATTTCAACCAATCAGAAGAGTTTCTGCAATAGCGTCACAACATGGCAGAAAGTGCAGTTCAATACATTTTTGTCATGAGTTTTTAGTGATTTAAAGTTTCTTCTTTAGTGTTTGATACTTAACAACAATTTAACAACATCATCTCGAAAGGTGTAGAAGAAACTCAACAATAGGTCTCTTTAAGCCATTTCATGACTATTTTTATTATAAGGTTATAACATTAATATCTTGTTTTGAAATGTGCTAATAAATATTTATTAGGTGGGAATTACAGACTTTCTTTAATTACCACCTAATAAATATTTTTACTTTTTCAAAGTGGCGCTAACAAATAATTTATATACTTAGGTATATATTTAACATATACCTAGGTCAATCACCTTCTATATATGTGGCCTTCGCATAGACGCGCAAAAGGCGATACAGAAAAAAATACTCGAAAAATGGAATATCTCCAAACAAAAGCAAAAATAACGCAACTGGAACATAGTCAAAGTAAAAAACCATACAGTAGACTTTTAGATATTTTTATTTTGAGAAAATTTTACAGGAATATGTTCAATGTTTTTTAAAATAAAAGCATAAGTTTAGTCACCTAGGAGGTAGGTGCTTGCGATAGTTACAGGGGTATATTCAAGCCATTCATACTGGTAAATAAGAAACTGGTTCTAGCACGAACTATCATCGAATTCGAATAGTTAGACTCGACGTTTTCCTTCTCGAAAATTGGATATATGTAAAAGAAATTTTACCCAAAGAATAATAAGTAATTATACTAGGCCTTGTTAGTTCATTATTTGGCTAATAGATGTCATTAGAAGTTCTCGTATCGCGGTTGCGTTAAAGTTGTCCCAACCTTAAAAAAACGCTAAAAACAGACCAAGACAGAAGTACGGAGCATTTTGTGGTACAGGTCAACCTACAAAGAGCCAAAATCGCTACCCAAGATTTAATTAGCGAAGCAATAAATAGGAAAGCCTATGTTTTGCTTTCTTGTACATGGTTATTGAACATTAGTAATTGAAACACTAGGCTTAATAAAGAAAAATATTTTTTGAATTTTTGAAGACTTCAAGTTTCTTTGAATCACATGTTATCGAATAAAGGAAAACATAGAAGCATACAATGAGTAACACTATTCCTACACGAACAAAGAAATTTGGCGACTCATTTCTTTGTCGTACTATTCGTAAGTGGAATTCTTTACCCGCGCACGTGTTCCCTCCTTCCTATAATCTGGGGTCCTTTAAGAGAGGCGTGAAGAAGCATTTTTGCGGGCCGGCAAGGTGAGGATGGTTGGTGTAGCAGTTAATAACTGCTGTACCAGCTATCTTCGCGTTTGGACTTTATCACCACTTAACATCAGGTGGGGTAGAGTCATTTGCCTACCTAGTAATATATATATATATATATATAACATAATATTTACTAAAATGCATAGTATACTATAGTACTGATGCGAAAAAAACTGCTCTGAATTCGTATGAAAATCATTTCTTTAATGATAAAAATCAAGGAGGTGTCGGTCGAGAGCAATGTATGGAAAAAACATTGCCCGCAAAAATATGTTTTATATTTTTTAAGTTTATGTAGGTTTATTTATAAATAAAATGTCAATAATACTTTATTCTTTCAGAGAGGGATTGGAACACGAAATAACGGGCTTCAATGAAAATGGCACCCTATCCGCTATACCCAGACATCCTCTGACCTGGGTCGAAGAGCTGTCCGAAGGGAACAGGGAGGACGACATCTTGTTTCTCCCTCACATAGCATTGTTGGTAAGTATCTTCGTATTATACGAATAATAGTTTTTATATAATGCGATTCAACTAAGAATAGGACCGACTGGGCGCCATATTGTGACGTCATAGCTGTCAATTCAAACAAAATAGGTAGAGCGAGCAAAAAAAGTTTTTATGTAATAAAACTAATTTACTAAGATTAAGTGAGAAAAATCATCCGATTTTTTTTTACTAAGATTAAAAAAACCAATTGTATTTTAATAACATTTATTTATTAAAACTGTGTGAGAAAAAAGCATTTATCGGAATCTAGCTATTCAATTCCGCTCATCTCTGCATTAGGTCACATACGGACATGCATCCTTTATGTTGTATTTAAATCGAGTTTCTGAACGCAACTTAAAGTGACATTTAGTTGACGATGTAGTTTATCAACCATTCATAGCCAAAGCTCCAAAAATGTAAAAAAAAATATCAACCAATATTAATTATCAATATTTGTTATTGTTTGTTTACAAATGTTTGGTTTTTATTCTAGAATTAGCGGACTGCTAAAAAGGGTTTCGAGGTTTTTTTTGCAAACCGTACTTTTCAAGCGACATTTGACAGATGGAGCTCATTGGCTTTCCTATTCTTATTTGAATCGCACTATACTTAAAGACAGGCGAACAAGCACACAGCACGACTGATGCTAAGCGGAGATAAAAAGATACAAGGATGTCTCATTATTTGGTAAATTTAGACCAGTAGGACGATTCAGTAAAATTAAATCACTTCCAATTTCGGTAGCTGCCATTTCAGACATTATAGTACAGTCAATCTGTAGGTTGAGTGGTGAAAAAAAAACCTAAAGGGTATGTCTTGTTTTTTCTGTTGCCAAATGACGTCAGTAAGCCACCTTGGCGATGGGCATGTTCAACTCGTAGGCGTTTTTTGAAAAACTCAAAAAACCGTCAAAAATTTTTTGAAACGCATTTTTCTTGTTTTGTATGCATTTTAGAAACTTTTTTTTTGACCATAATTGTAGAGGGCGTTGAGTACTACAATTTATGTCAGTGTTGCAATCTCGTACAACAAAAAATGCGCATTGTAGGTGGCGCTAAAGTCTCAAAAAAAGGGTTTTTTCACTTTTTCTCCCTGAAAATATCATTTTAATGGAAAACTTTAAATGGCAAAGTTGTTTCGTACATAATTACCAACAACTTTTGTATAAACAATTTTTTTGTATTACTTACCGTTTTCAAGTTATAAATTGCGCAAAAATTTTGACGGTTTTTTTGAGTTTTTCAAAAAACGCCTACGAATTGAACATGCCCATCGCCAAGGTGGCTTACTGACGTCATTTGGCAACAGAAAAAACAAGACTTACCCTTTAGGTTTTTTTTTCACTCAAACGATATTTTTTTCGACAGATTGACTGTACTATTAGTTTGATATGCATTACGCCATTACACGGCAAAAAGTCGCTATGTATGTATAAATAAGTAGCCAGTATTAGATATTTGACATTTTCTTTTACTATAGAAGAAGAATAATAGAAATATATAAAACAAAACAATCCTAGTATTACCCGAAAATCATATGATGTCCTCCGTGTCCAATACAATAATGCCTTCAGGGCACTGCTGCGGCTGCCGCGATATTGTAGTGCTTCGGGAATGTTCGCAGATGCGCAGGTCGACAGTTTCCCGGCTATTTTGCGCAAAAAAGCAGGTTCATTGCTACGGCGGGTTCGTGGTAGCCGCAGTAGTGTTGTGAGGGATTTAGTAGCTCGTGGGGACTGTCCACTGATAAATATTTTTGTAAATAGGGTTATATCTGTTTTTAATATAATTTACTAACATAGTATTAAGTATTGTATACTAACACGTGGATCTATGTTGTCCGAATAATAAATGATTTGAATTTGAATTAATCTGTGGATAATGTAGTTGGTTGTACAATAAGTATAACATAATTTGTAAGCCTTTCACTTAACATAATTATATTGTACAACTGTTTGTTATCCCTAATAAAATAAAATAAATAAAAAAAGACATTTGTCAGAAATCCGAATAAATGAGATCGTAAGTAGGGTTACTATTTACAAATTAGAAAAGTCCTGACAAAAAGCCGGACTTTTCGATAAAAGTCCGGACATTTTAGTCACAAAATGCAAACATCACCCACTTAGTTACAGTGATATTATACGCGTGGTAGCAGCTCGCATCGCGAGGGGGTCTCGTTGCTGATTTTTAAAGATGATTTATATTTTGTTTTATATTATTGAGAACTTAATAAAGATTATTACTTATTTGATATTACTTAATAAGTAGTTTTACTCATATTGCATCTAATTAAAAAAAGCTGGACAAAGTCCGGACAAAAGGCAAAAAGTCCAAAGACAAATCAGGACGGATGGTAACCTTAATCGTAAGATAGGTTGTATCTTACGGAATGCCTATGCTGAAGTGCTATTCTGAATGAAAAAAACTCAGTTTTCACCGCGGAATTCGCTGGCAAGATTTGTAAAATCAATATAGGTATTTCCTATATTGATTTGGAACGTCGCACGACGTCACGTGTTTGTACAATTTCAACTTAGAAGTGACGTCACGAGACCCTGCTCCCAAACTTCGACGCGCTTTATCATTGTAATTTCTTGGTTGATTGAGCAAAGAAAAAATATGTGCCCATTATTTTTTGAAAATCTAACTGAAGGGCTAATCCAATCTATACTAAACACCTCTTTTCATTTTCGTTCGGATATCAAAAATATATGAAAGTCAAGTTTTAGCCACAATTCGATGATAATTTTAGTACCTATACGGTTATATTCCCACCTCAATCTCATGAATATTTTATTTTACGCTTTTAACTAAGTTAAAGGTCGTGCTATGATGCTGTTTTAAGTTTCATCACACCTAATGTGTATTTCCATCCGGAGACATTCTAGAAACATTTCCTCATCGTTCGGAAATTTTGTAATAAAACACCATCAGATTTAGCTATTCGCCGAAACCATTGAATTAAAGTCCAATAAGTCACTTGTTTTTAATTTTATATTTATTATTTATGACGATCGCCGTCGCCGATTGGTTTGTACACCGGTTTTCAAGGTCGAGAGGTCCCGGTTCGAATCCCGGTGGGGGCAGATGTTCGTGTGATGAATACGAGCATTGGGGCTCCAGTCGTTAATGTTTAATATGTATTTCTATATAAATATACTTATATATTTATCAGTATATGTATTCTATCCGTTACCGTTATCTCCTATAACACAAGCCTAGCTTACTATGGGGCTAGGCTAGTTGGAGCGTATGTTAGTTCTGGAAATTATAGGTATCTCTATAAAATGCAAGCTCGGCAAAAGTACAAACGTAAACATTGCAACGAGGAACCTTAATAAGAAATTCTGAATCGCGCTTACAAAACAATTACAGGCATTAAGTATATAACAAAATCTGACGTTCTACAGTTCCACAGCTATTATTATACTGGAGAGGGAGGTATCCAAGCTCAATCAGTATATAAATTATAGGAGAGGTAGATAGGGCTCTGCGGATTGCCTACTGGAATTGGATCGCCCGTCTGGGGTAGCAGCGCCCGTCTGGGGTAGCAATCTCCACCTTACAAGAAGACCACAGTAAAATAACACTAGCTTTTCGTGGTATTGTGTTTCTACTGGGGAGTAGGCAAGGGCGGATCCAGAGGGGGGGTCATGGGGGTCATGACCGGGGGGTCACCCCCTGGACTGGGTCCATCTGTACCCACTTCACAATCTGTACCCACTGTGACATGACCACGACTATATGACCCTGGCGCCAAAGCTGGATCCGCCCTTGGGAGTAGGGTTAAAGGTCTCCGCGGTGTAGGGGATTTGGTACAAGGTCGGCGAGGTGAGGATGGGATGGCTGAAGCGGCACAACTTCTGCCACATCATCTATCTTTCGTGACTTGACTCCACTTACATATTTCAACATAATTAATAAAAAGCAGCGGTAATTTGTTGCGGCTCCTAAAAAAACTAAATTAAAAATAACATTAGTTATTAGGATAAAACTAGCAATAAAACTAGTATAATTATGTTTTAAACCATGTTAAATAGCTTTTTTCGCTGGTTGCCTTAATAAAATTGTATGGCTAAACTTCAGCATGTCAATTGAACATCCCAGCACAAACAAAAGTTAATTCAGGGGGTTTTAGGTTTATTTCCGTTACGGAATTTCTTGATTCGGTCACCGCGCTCAAAGCCCGCGATAAAAGCTATGCAATAGCTTAATAGTTTAATGTCATATCATAGCCCTTGCGTAGTGGTCAGAGTATCAGAGGCGCATCAAAGGAGGAAGACCAAAATACTAATTAAGGCACACTTGTATTGGCACACAAATTCGCTAAAATCTCGATTTAACTAAAACTAGTAATTAAATAATGTCAAAGCACCAAAATTAGCGCTGGTCGCCACCTCCGCAGTCTCGTATTGAGGTCTTTGTCAGGTCAATAAGTAAATCAACAGATCTATTATTAGGCCAGGGCGAATCACGCGGGAGACTTATTTGACCTTGTCATTTAAGAAATTAGCATCTCCATAAATATTAAAGCGTATTAAAATCATTTGTTTACTAAAAACCCACAATAAGTATTAGTAATTAAAATAATATTTTATTAGCTCATACTTATTGGACTATGACACAAATCTAAAGTTTTAAATAACATATATTTATTTTAAGCATTCAACTGCTAGATGTTTAAATCTAAAGAAAATTTTACTAAAAGAAATTCCACGCGTACCAGCAACAGACGAGACTCGAACCCGTCTGTTGCTAGTAAGCGTGGCCCCTTCGCTATCCGGGCGAATTCACTGACCATTATGATACCGCGACCCTGATGGCCGTGTCGAATTCTCTCTAGCCTATCTTAGCCACTAGTTTATCAGCATTAACAGGTACCCAAAATATTTTTTAGATTTCGAAATGTTCACTATGTTAGTTATTGTTATGCTTTGAATTGGAAAAATATCGATTAGGGCCTTTCGTTTATCAATTGACAACTCGAGATGACTGAACAAGATTCTTTACTAGAAAATTCCAAAGTCTATGCACTGACTCACTATCCGTTGAAATTCCTACGGAAATTGCATTTGATCATTAGTTAAGGGCGTTCGCTACATGAAACGAGCAGCCATTCTGTGTCTAAGAAATCGAGGAGCCCTTTATAAGTGGTCGAACGTCTAGGGCAGCAAAAACAAATTTGTCACAGTCGGCCATGACTTTTCGTTGCGTTTTGTGTTGACTTGAAAATATTAATATCTAAAGAAAATATAACTAGAAAAATTCCACGCGGACCAGGCAGCAGACGGGACTCGAACCCGCACCCTTCGCAATCCGGGCGAATGCACTGACCAATTATGCTACCGCGGCCCTCACGCACCGCGTTGAAATTCTTCTAGCCATTCTTAAGCTGCAAGGCAGCGCCGTCTCTTCGCATTATAGGTAACCCACAATGCAGTCAGTGCATTCGCCCGGATTGCGAAGGGTGCGGGTTCGAGTCCCGTCTGCTGCCTGGTACGCGTGGAAATATTTTCTAGTTATATTTTCTTTAGATTTAAACATCAAGCAGTTACACGCTCTAAAATAATAAAAATTAAATATTAATATGCCAGTTTTATATAGTGGGGCCGGCCATACGAAGGGTTTCAAAACTAGGGAAGAAAATTTGAGCGCCTTAGACATTAAGAAGGGATGTTACGTGAACCCGTCAGTTTTTTTTTGAAGTTATACTTCTTTAGCCGCGTTATGAAAAAATGATGAGAGTGAAATTTTAAGATGCGCGCGCAACACTGTAACAGAAAAGTAACACCATGAAGTCGGCCGCTAAACCGCACATTACGCGTAAGTCTCGAAAAAAAGCTTCCAACAAAATAGTAATAGGATCTCTTAGTCGCACATGTTGGGACGCTCGTCGCCTCTGATCACTGTTTTCATATTTATAATATTTATCCACATGTTTCTAGTTTCTATATTCTTAACACGTGTTATAATGTTATACAAATGCGAAATTTATATGTGCTAATAAATTTTATTCAGTAGTGATTTAAATTGAATATTTAGATTATTTATTAAATTTTTCAAATTAAAACTGAACTTTATTGACTGCGTTGACTATCCTTTTCCAATCCTTTTATTATCTTATTGTAATTAATTATCTGCATGCAATTAAAAACTATTTTTTAATAATTCCAAAAAGAAGTATAACTTCTCACGCGCGTACTTAAGTACACGCACCCATATTTTTTTATTTTTCCATTCAACTCTATAAAAATCCTATATATAAAACCCGCTTCAACAATCATTAAATAACAAAAGACAAGTGTTTGGTGACCAAGGAACCAATAAAGGAGCCAAAAAGCCAATAATATTGTTAAAACTAAATCCTTTAAAGGATCCGTAATAACAAGACTGCGTAACTGTGTTGTCAGAATTATGAATTTTATTTATTTTGTCGAGTTACCTTTGAACAAGTCAATAAAAGCCTTTCGTATCACGTTTTTTCGTTTAAAAAAGTAATAAAAAAAACGAGTTTTAAACCCGTTCAAGCGTGTTTCATTTAAAAACAAGAATAATGTTAAAATGCATTACCTAAATTGTGCTGTTAAAGCGTGCCCCGTACAGACGTGTGTGTAGATGTATTTTGATAAAAGAAATAGATACACTGTCTTAAAAAAAAAAACTTCATAATTTGTGTCCGTGGAAAGAGAGTTACGCTACTATTTGGGCTTTCGACTACATATTTTTATGATACTATTTATAAGAACTGAATTTGAAACTCAAAAACTTCAGTTTTCAATCAAAAATATTGCATAGAAATTAAATCGCAGTCAATGATTTCACTACCAGTACCTAGTGCTATTCTGTTAGAGCAAACTCAATTTTTACCGCAGAATTCGCCGCCGGTGTGATATGAAATTTATTTGAAATTCGTGTTCTAATTTTAAATCGCACCGTGGGTCCGAGGTGAAAAGTGAGTTTTTTACAAAAAAGCACTCCAGAATGGCGTCAGCGCGGGCTCCTGCTCAACGTACCGGGCGCCCTAAAAGTATAATTTTTGTTGAGTTTCGATCAAATTGATTGCGGCAATATCAAATGGAAAATCTAAGTAGGTATATGCACTTTATTGTAATGATTCGATGGAAACGCCAAATGTAATTTTAACTTAACTACTAGTCTCTTACTGGACTGCCAGTGCGGGAGAACTTATAATGCGCCTAAAATATATTTTTAGTGCATTAAATGAGTCATTATTGTTTCCGAGAAATGTGAGGTAAATCCTTTGCCAAATATGCCGTCTCGTTCAGGTGTGGCTTTTTGCCGGTTAGGCAAAATCCAAGGAGGTTTCTTTGGTTCTTAGTATTTCGTAAGAGGTATCTTATTCAAATTTAAAACTAAGCTATGTAGTCTTGACTTAAGTCCTTTATTAGTACAGGTATTGGCGACACCTTATTAGTAACTACAACTTTACATTAAAAACGTATTTTATCATCATCAGCCTTAAAGTAATACAGCCGACGCGATCAGGAGGGGAGTAGGCATACACAGCTTCCTCTCTGTTGATTTGGGCATTACAAACAATTCATCTAAAAAATATGTCCATAACGAGTGGTAGGGAAAAAATATTTGGACGATTCAAAAAAGTTGTGCTATACATCCAATTTGAATAAAGATATATTGATTTTTGATTTCTGAAACGCTACATGTGCGCAGGATTTGGAATTGTATTGTGTCATTGTTTGTGTTTGAATGTCTTAAGCCTTAGGTCTCATGCAAAAGTGTTTTGAAAACATTCAACAAATACACGTACAAAGAACTTTGTTTCTGAAAAATGTTTCTCTACACTCGCCGTCTACTGCTCACGTGGCTGTTGTACACGAAAAACACCATGCTACGTTCAAAATTACGATCCACATGCAACAAATGTCAAAATTAATTAGACAAAAGCTTCATAAATTTTAAGTCAAAATTTAAACGTCTCTAATCACAAGCATGCAGATGCTTGTGATTATTTTATTATGATAGCCTATAGAGGCTATGATGGCAGACGCTTACCATCAGCGGGCTATACGCTTTCTAATATAAAAATACTTAAAGTTTTAAACAATATATCATATCTCTTTTTCTTCATTCCAGAGCATAGCCAACGTGGTGGCGCAGAAGGACTTCGTGACCAGGTTCGGGCTAAACAACCTCATCACCCTCACGGACAGCCAGCCCCTGGTGAAGATGACAGCCAGGGAGTTCATGATGGGCCACGAGTCCAAGCTGATGACCCTGGGGAACACCTTCATGCCCAACTGGATATACTTCGACAAGCTGGGGCTTATTGATAGAGTAAGTCCTTTTAAGAGTTATCATTATTATCGCAATCATCCACAAACCTTGACTTAAATGTAATCAGGAATTCATATGGAACCTTAAATGTCAAAATTCTTCTCTTCTTATCTCAATTATGTTAACTTGTTTATATAGTGTTATTAATCTAGTATGACAACCTAGATACGGTTATTATACAAATCTGTTACAATCCATATTAGACTTATTTGATGTTTCATGAAATACCTTGTCATACGAACTTTAATTTAAAAAAAAATGGATATGATCTTAGCAGGGATGGAAGTTACACTCTAACATAGAAAAGTGGGTGCAGGAAATAGAGTGAATGGAACTTTGGGAAACTTCTTGGCAGTAAAAACCTAAGCCAGAAGTTACAGCTCGCTAAATACATACAGCGTACATATAGCGGTGCTGATCCCAACGATAAGATATGGAAGCGAGAGTTGGGTATCTCAGAAAGAGCATGTATATATAACCTCCCGTGGGGAGATGCCATCCGCCTGGAATATCTCTAGAGGCATTCGCCAATTGTTGGCTTGAGGTCCCCTTAGGATCTTGCCGTCCCCAAACCCGGTAACGCTGTAAAGGTCACCTGCGACCAACAGCATACACACTCAAAAAAAACGCAGTCGAGATGTGAGCGTTACAAAAAATTTGCGGAGTGACGCTCGCAGACCGCGTTTGTAATTATGGAAGTAAGAGAGAGTCGAAATGTGAGACAGAGACAGAGTTTAAATTAACTTAGGCTTACTCAGCTGGTCCAGACAGTTTGAAAGAATGTCAAATGGGTGAATAATGAAATAGATATACGATGCTTTAATGGAAGGATCAAGAAGCCGGGGAAGGTCAAGGCGTCAAGGTGACATCAGAAACTGAAATCTGGAGCCCTTAAAGAGAGGCGTGAAGAAGCATTTTTGCATGCCGGCAAGGTGAGGATGGTTGGTCTAGCAGTTTATAACTGCTGTATCAGCTATCTTCGCGTTTGAACTTTATTACCACTTAACATCAGGTGGGGTAGAGTCCTTTGCTTGCCTCGCTATAAAAAAACCTGGCGGGTGTGTATGATAAGAGTAATGAATGCGAATGAAACGAAAGATGTGTGCCTTAAGGTTCTGTGTTAGCTGATAGTATTGACTCCTCCATATAAAAACACCTCTGTCCGCAAAGTTTTCTCAAAACGGGGGGAACCTAATTTTAACATATATTCGTGTAATAATAATATTAAACTTTTCCAGATGTACGATTTCAACGGCGACTACGAAACTATATACACGGGTGCTACGGACGTCTCTCAGTCAGGGTTAATAGACACATACAATGGGTCACCTAATCTACCACAGTGGAAGGGAGAACATTGCTCCAATGTACGAGGGTCTTCAGATGGCACCAAGTTCAAAGGGGCGTTGGATAGAAATGAAAGCGTTCTGTTCTTCAGGAAGAGTTTGTGCAGAGCTGCACCTTTGGTAAGCATTTTTTTATCCATATTTAAAGCCAGAGTGAATAAGCTCATTCCGAGGAAACTCACTACACCGTTGATCTCAGCTCTGTCTCAGGCTTGATAGAAGATCAAGAGCTTACCCATTAATAAATAAATAAAAAAATAAGCTTCAATCTACAGCCGGCGTAAAAATGTGCCATCCGTGGACGATTATTGCAGAATTTTATGATAATTCATTTTTCATTAATGATACCAAAACAATATATATCATTAGAAAAACAGTGGGCAAAGGAGGTAGTAAATCTATTGTAAACTCTTTCGATAAATTTTAAACAGTGCATTATGAAATTGTATCTATGAAGACGTATATTTGCTGTTGCGGTCTTGACTGTACATCGTACGTATTTTTATGATTTTTTTGAAAAAGTATTGTGCTAGAAAATAGATATCATATCTTTATATATATAATTCTTCTGTGAGTGTGTATGTCACTGAACTTCTCTTAAACGACTGGACCGGTTTTGATGAAATTTTTTGTGTGTGTTCAAGGGGATCTGAGAATGGTTTAGATTCACAATTTTGTCCGCTGGACAACCCCTATTTTTTTAGGGCGGTACGAAGTTCGCTGGGTCAGCTAGTTGAAGTCTAAAGTTCTATAATAAAAAAAAACTATTTCCAATCTCGTTTACGTTTAACGTGATCTTTTATTTTAATTATTCTCCATTGTTCTCAGATACCAGTGGAAGAAGGCACGAGAAGTGGCTTAAGAGCTTACAAATACATTTTCCCAGACAACATGTTGGATAACGGCAAATATGTAGAGGAGAACAAATGCTTCTGCAGAGAAGGTTAGTTACAATAGAAAAATATTCTTCAGTTACTTATTTGTAAGAAAATCAAAATTTTGTCATTGTGCCAAAAAGATTTTTAATGCTTGAATTATCTAATACATATGGAATAATTCTAACTAGATCGTCAATAATATCCGAATCCATAAACTGTTATAGATTTACAAAATAATGTGACGATAGTCATGATTTCAAACAAAATCTTTTAATTCATGCATTCACACATATGCTATGCTAGTCTTCTCATGTGAACAGAATATTAAAAAAAAAACATTTCTCTGATAAATTTACTTGTCTTAAGAATATTTACTTGTCCTAAGAATATTTACTAGAAAAAAAATCACCCGGTCCAGGAAACAGACCGCTATATCCTAAGGAATACTTATTTAGGGGAGGATGGGGGAATTACGGACGCTGAAGGGAAATAACGCACAACATTCGTACTATTTGTAATAATTAGTCTGTCTTTATTAATTATTAATCTTTAGTTATCCATCTACAAAAACAATACTTATTAAACGAGATCTATCAACAAATAGATTTTTTTTAGCAAAAACAAAACCTTGTCTGTCCGTAATTACCCGTAGCGTTCGGGGTAAATTCGGACTGACCCTGGGTTAATTACGGACAGCATGGGGTATTTACGGACTAGGTCCACATCATTGGCAAAAATCACAAGTAAAGCCTTTAGAATAACTTCCTGCAGTGCAGTTCTCATGAGCCCTCTTGTTATACTTTAAACACATAATCCAGTCTTCGGCGAGTGGATCACTGTACTTTTCCTGATAATAAATGCAAAAGTAATCAACATTTCCTTCATTTTCAAAATTATTCAGATTTTTTAAACCCTTTGATCCTTTTCCTGTAGAAAGTTCTGACTTTTTCAGCTTATTAGATGTAGTTTTATTTTCTATTTCTTGAGCTTTTCTTTTCTTGTCTAGTTTCATTTGTTCCTTTTCTTCTAGATTCTTTTTTTCCGGGGTGCTGGTAAAACTGATAGAATGCTTTTTGTTTACTGACCGTTACGATGAATTTGTAGAGTTGGGACCTTTATTAAATCACTAAGCGATACTGATGAAGATTGACTTGTTTGACTTGTCGTACTTTGGTTTTCGGACGTCCGTATATACCCCGCAAGCCGTGTCCGCAATTAACCCAACTGGGTATTTTTAAATCAAAGAGAGAAATTTGTAGATTATGAAAACGTTAAATAAAAACAAACATTGGCGATTCAAACTCCATTGATAAAGCTATCCATAGAAAATATCACTTTTTACCATCACTTAGTATACAGACTTGACCCTCGAATTAAAAAACACTAAAAATTAGATCAATATACACTTTTTTTTTTAATTTTACCTACCTTTCAAACTGTGCGCAGCCGGCTGTCGTAAGTTTTTGCTTGGCATTAAAATAGCGGAAAGAAACAGACGACAGCACCGAGCTGCCGCGGGTGGAGGGAATGAGTAGATACTTGCTAGTCCGTATTTACCCCGCGTCCGCAATTCCCCCACTCTCCCCTATCTTTTCTAGTAGACATTTGTTTACATTTAAATATGTATATCCATTTTTTAGGCAAATGTCTCCCGGACGGTCTAATAGACGTGACCGACTGTTACTACGGATTCCCTATAGCACTATCCTACCCGCATTTCTATAAAGGGGAAGATGTCCTCTTCGAGAAGGTTGAAGGCCTACAGCCTGAACAGGAGAAACATGAGACTAGGTGAGTCAGATATTTCTATAACGGCAACTTTTAAAAGTCACGATGTAAACGGTACATCAATTTAAATCTTCAGTGTGATCGTTAGCGTTGTTAAAGTCAAATTGTCGCCACAGAATTGTATTAGATATAATCTCTTACCTGTCTAAAAACTAGGACTGCTGTAAAAATCACTCAAGAATGATAACAATGCCCCCAAAACTATAAGAATTGTAAATAATACATGTCGTGAACAGCGAAGTCAATTTTGTTAATATTAAACAGAAAGTCGATAGATGAATATTAAAAATCTAGCTTATAAGAAAGATGAAAATGACAATAAACCCGTAAATACTATTTAAGCAACCACTAGTTAAGGATTCTTTATGGAGTCTGTTTACCTAGTATAGCAAGTTAAAGCGACTGAAACCTCAAATTCGTAAAAGCTATCGCAAACTGTTGCAAATAAATTTATATTTTCCGTTATTATTGCAGGTTTTGGATCCAGCCCGAGTCAGGCCTTCCTTTAGACGTGAGCTCCAAGTTCCAGATCAACATGGCACTGTCCGACCTATCCAACATACAGAACACTGGGAGATTCTCCAATATGTACCTGCCTTTGCTCTGGTTCGATATTGTAAGTACTTTTTGCTTGTTACTCCTAGTTTAATCATCATCATCAGCCTATTAATGTCCCTGTTGGGGCACAGGCCTTCCCTATAGATAGAAAAGGGAGATTGGGCCATAAACTACCACGCGGGCCCAATGCAGATTGGTGGGTGCAGACGACTACAGATGCAGCCGGGACCAAAGGCTTAACGTGCCTTCCAAAGCACGGAGGAGCTCGAGATAGTAAATTTTTGGTCACCCATCCAATGAGCGACCACTGCGAAAGTTGCTTAACTTCATCGATCGCAGCCGAACGCGCTAACCACTTGCGCCATCGAATATATTACGTTTATCTACTATATAAAAATAAGTCGGGTTTTCCTTCCTGACGCTATAACTCCAGAACGCACGAACCGATTTCCACAGTTTTGCATTCGTTGGAAAGGTCTCGGGCTCCGAGGGGTTTATAGCAAAGAAAATTCAGGAAAAATTATAAAAAAAAAACTTCTTTTAATCACCAAACGAAATGTTACATAAAAAGAAGCCATCTGGTGGCGAAACGGAGTTCGCCGGGTTTGCTAGTCATTTCTAAAATTGCACACATACATATTTTTTTATCTAAATTGTCATTCAGTGTATTTAACAAACGCTCTCTATGAACGCCATAGAGTCCAAATTTAATTGTCAACCACCATCAATCTGTCCAAAGGACATTGCTCGTTCCATATACACTGAATGCCCCAGAACGCACAGCAATGAGAAAATGCTAGTTGTGTTCGGAATCATTCACAAACTCTCATCAGGCATTTGCTGAAATACGGGCAACTTGAGGAACCGTGGCCTTCTACAGAATGTATTAGATTTTGAGGTTATAATTATTATACTTAATCGTAAACGATGTACACTTTATATATTCTGAATAGATTTATTGTTTACCTCTATGTAAGCACTTAAATAATATGATTTAAATAAACATAAAATGTAAATAAAAATGATAAATGCTCATATTCATATTGATTTATGAGTGTTGGCAGTTGGCACTTATGATACCCATAACTACATGTTTAATAATAGATTTATTTTCAAATTAAATGTTTAAAGGCTTTTTATTTACCTGTTTCTATATTTTATTATTGATAATTAGGTATGTACCTGGTTATCATTATGATTTTCATAAATATATACAGATACTATGATATTATATGGATGAGAATATAAACTATCTAGAAATCGCACGCTTGATATTGTGTAGTCTAATTGTCCCTTTATAGACAAACGGCACATCTCTTTTATGAAGCTACTGAATTTATATGAGACAGGCTTTAAGGATGACATGACTGCAAATTGTATAGTAGTTACAGAACTTTTATTTCTTTACCATAAATTGTCCGTTTACTATGGTCAATTGCTAATAAAGAAAAAAATTATAAAAAAAAGTATAGTGAAGGACATTCATTTGTGCGTGCTGGGGTAGATTTTATCTATTTCCTTTGTATGTTCTTGTTAAGTTCATTTTATATATTTTCATGAAATGACTTGTCAATTCAGGTTTTTCAAAAATGGGACATATTATGATACCATATTAATTGTCCTAGCCCAGTAGGACCACGGGTACATAGAGGTAAATATCCTACCAGTAGGACAAGTTAGTGGGCCCAAGACCCCTTGATCAGTATCATTAAATACTTTTCCCCAAATCAATGACGAAAAATCGAATTATTAAAGTTATGTCATCTCTTTTTACAGAGGATGTACTCCTTGACACCATCACTGGAACAGAGATTCAAACTCTACCTCAACATTCTACCAGTCGTGGAAAAAGTCGCAATGTACCTCCTATTTTTAACTGGCGCCAGTCTCATACTAACCACAGTATATATTCTAACATTCAAGATTATGTTCAAAACTTTCGACCAGAAGAAACAACGCAACATCGCGATCGGAACAGAAGTATGGTTAGAAAAAGAAGGAAAGAGGAAGAGCAGAGACAATATTGCATGCGATATACCTCTTAATGATTCAGAATCGGATACTTCAGATCCACAATTCGATCCAGATAGAAGACCGTCGCTATTAAAAATACACGGTGATAGAATAAAAGTTTTAAGTCATAAACTTAGCGATAGAATGTACGATTCAGTTGGTAGCGTAAGAGATAAAGTCAGAGATGAGTTCACGCACGTTAAACATATATTTAACGAGAAAAGAAATTCTCTTATCAACGAATCTAAGTCAAATGACGCTTACAAAAGCGATTCAGGCGAAGATGATGAAGAAAACGGTTATGCAGCAGTAGGGCAAAGCGATAGTGATGATGAATGTAAATATTTAGAAGTAGTAGATGATGGTAGCGTATTCGATAGAAATGCGCCGTACAAACAGAACAACAAAAGGTTAGAGCAGCTACAGAATTTAGATTCAAGAACAGATGATGATGGTGAATTACTTCATATATCTGATTAAATGTTGACTGCTTTTAAGTTATGTTTAAATTATTAATACAGGTAGATTACAGCTACTTTCAATATGAATCTCTTATGCTGAATTTCATGTAAATAATTCATCAATGTCTTAGAACGTCTCATTATGTAAAGCTATATTTTTTTGGGTTTTAATCTACCACATCTTTATTTAGTTGCCTATTTCATTAAATTGTAATAATGGAAACACTCGAAGATCATTCCTGTTATTCCTTAATGAGGCGTTCAGTATAGATAAATATCAGTTTACCGTGGCTCAACCCGTTTTTGGGATAGCATCTATTCCAAAATCGCAATAGTTTGTATGGCATCCAAGTACTTAAGACATCCCCTTCGATAAATAGCTTAGACTTTATACGACTTGATGTGGCTATGATTTTGACTGCCGTCTTCTGGTCCAGATGAAGTACCTATTTTCGTCTTTCGATTAATGGATGTATCTCTTTATCGTTAAGTTTACCGTGAGACTCTCTATTTTCTTTTTCCCTTTAGCAAATTTTTGTTATCAGAACCATTGTTTTAGTCATTAACATTGCGATGAAATTAAGTTACCTAAATGTAGTAGTTTCACTATCGCGTAAAGCTCATAGTGAACGATTTTTGATATTTTATTTGTAACCAACTTTATTACACACACATTTCTTTTGATTCTTATAATTTGATGCATTCTTAAAAGGGAAATTAGAAAGCTCTGCTTATTCATATCTCTTGAACGTACCTTATTACTATTATGTAAATGTGATGACTGATTATTAGTTTTGCTCAAACTCCTTAGGTTAAGTTTCAATTGGCCATATTGAATTTGTCTTGCCATCTATCGGAATTACCTGTTAGATCAGAATTTATGATACTGTGTAGGAATAAATCAGATATTGTACACTTTTTAAACTACCAAAACTACATTAGACGACGATGTTTTTTCTTATAATTATATAAAACATTTCCGTTGTCAAATGCAATTTTATCATCGTAGATGATTATAGTTTGAAGGGAGAATGGGCGACCCGTATTAAAAATCTACTCAACATTGACGCCGTTTGTGCTTTTAATAGATCAAAACTGTGCATAGTTTAGATAGAATTAAAAATAGCAGTAAACAAAAAAAACATTAAAATATTACCTAACGCTTATATATTGTGTATTACACAATTCAATTATTTTTGACCCTTTCACGAAGATCTCGGTCATCTACACATTTATTGTATATTAAAAAACATAAATGCTTTTTGAAGTTTATGAAATGTGCTTTTCATCGTAAATCGGCTAGTCAATGTACAGTAGATTGATCAACTTGCCCATTCTTCTTTGTGAAAGATGTGCCAGTTTATTAAACATTTTCCATAATCATCTAAAGTTCCTATAATTTTATTTGTATTTAATACTAATTTAGATACAAATTGCATTCCATCGCACATTTATTTTGAACCTTGAAAAATGCAAATTACAATTTTTAAATATTGAAAACTCTTTGGTTAACTTGGCATATTGATATTATGCTCGTATAGAATTGATCAAAACCAGCAATAGTTTTTCTAGAAGCATTTGAATCTATACAACAAAGCTTATTAATTGGTTATTTATGAAAAAACTGATATGATAAAATCTCTAAATGTTTGTGTCAATTTCAACCCCTGAATTTCGGTAATTTATCGTATATATTTTTGCTGTGCCAGTGAATTTAAATGGAAATCGGTAATTACCCTATCAAAAGTGTCTAATGAACAAGTTATGTCTGATATGAACAAATTATCTAATAATTTCATTCTTCGAGATAGGCATTTTAATTCCATTTCTATGTACTCTTAATTTTTACTGTTAAAAATGTATATTATTTATTTAGTATTTGTTAATTTTGGGAAATCAATCCATTATGCGATCCCTAGACACTTTTGATGTGTATATTATGCCAATAAATAAATGGGCTTGAATATTGCCACTCTACTTATTTAAAACAAATATTGTTAATTGTAAAATCTCATTTTATCGGAATTACCATATAGGTAGAACATTAAAATATATTTTGATTTTCACGTAAAAACGGCATCCTTGCCTATTCAAAGACAATTTTGAAAACAATATGAGATTATAAAATTTTAGGAACACATTATGTTTAAATAATATAAATTTTCCTAAATTATTATTATTTATTACGCTTATGCTCTTGCCTATTAAATAAAATAAAAAAATGCTCATGCAGCACTTTACTATAAGACTTTTTGTAAGCCAATACTTTTATTGTGATAAAAATAATAATTAAATAATAAAATGAATTGTATAAATTGGGAATATCAAGTTATTAGTTACTAAGGGTACCATTTTGTAAATATAATTGCGCCATATTTCTAAATGTTATTTTAATTACCGAACTTTAAGCGTATTGAATATAAATAAATTAGTCATTTAAGTGTGTAAAATATAATTTTACAAAGATTTTAAATAATGGTTTTTCGGTAATTAATTTTAATGTTTTTTGAAATAGTAATAAAATTTATTTTCATATTTTGTATTATTACTATGATTATTTTCGATAATAAATAAGTGGTATTGTTAAGTATTTATCGAATTAAGTTGGCACTTGGTGAACTACTTATAAAAATATTATTGAAAATAAAAAGAATATAATACTTATTATATTTGTTTTCTTTTCTTTCTACACGTGTGTCCTATAAATACATAAATATTGAAATGAGTTTTCATCTATCATCATCACCTGACTATGTCCCTACTGCTGGGGCACATACCTTCCATATGAATGGGAATGGAGACTGGGTCATAAACCACCACGCGGGCCCAGTGCGGACCGTGCTAACGACTGCAGATGCAACCGGAAGCAACGGCTTAACGTGCCTAACGAAACCCGGAGGAGCTCGAGATAATAAATTTTGGTCAACCATCCAATGATAGACGCTTGCAAAAATTGCTACAAGCATTCGTCAATAACATTTCAATCCATCCTTCAATTTTAAGCGAATAATTGAACATCAAGTTCTCATATTGAACGCAAGAGAATAAAAACTTTGGAAATACTTTGATGTAATTAATTTCATTTTATTGCAACGTAACATTTTATTAACACATCTCTAGTACACATTTATTTCAATAAAATAAATAAATAAAAAGGAACATAAATTGAACATTGATATGGAGAAAGAATCAAATAAGAAATACGTCGTACAAGAATTTCAAACCGTTCATGATATATTCCGTTTTTATGATACACCAGACCAAGTAACCGTAAAATAATATTTGCACTGCCTTGTCCAGTATCACCATTCTGTAAAAAAACATTAGAATATTAAAATACTTCATGTGGCAACTTTGCTAGCTCCGTAATCGTATCGTCATCGTTAAAATAATTATGTATGAAGAGAGCCCGTTTATTCCTACGTCCGGTAGAGGCGCTGTTTAGTTTTCATAGGAACTTTGAGGAAGCGATACGATTACGCTCCTCCCACGACAACGGCTAACCAGAGTCTCAAAGACGCCCTCTAGTTGAGCCGACACCCTCAGGTTCGAGTGGTCTAGAGGCTCCAGACGGAGAGCAGACTCCCCCCGTGGGGATGTCATCCGCCTGGAATACCTCTAGAGGCACTCTCCAATTCTCGGCTTGAGGTCCCCTTAGGATGTCGCCGTCCCCAAACCCGGTGACGCTGTAAAGGTCATCTGCGACCAACAGCATACACACTCAAAAAGATTACGGTGCTGTCAAAGTTTGTGATTGGGCCTCTGATAATAATATAAAATAAGACCCATGCAACAAAAAAAATAATGATAGTCAAATCGGAAACATAGCCAAAATTTCAACAGAAAAAACGACACATTGAATCATAAGAAAAGTTTACTAGAAAAAAATCCACGAGGACCAGGCAGCACACGGGACCCGTCTGCTTTTCTTTAGATTGAAACAACTAGCAGTTAAATGCTTCAAAAATTAAAACATAACATTGAATCGTACTCAGAAATATCAAAGGAGATTGGTCAAATTGGCCTAAATGCAAATAAAATATTGACATATACAGTAATTCTTGGCGTAATTTATACTTTATTTTACAGTCATTAGATTTTAACGGCCACTTTTAAATAATATATTAATTTTAAAAAAGGACTTCTATTTTTACCGGTTTGGAAAACATACGAATCATTTTTATTGGCTATGGGTGTAGTAACATTCACAAAGACTGATCGAGGTTGTTTATATAACATCAAAACAAATCTATTTTGTAAAGATTGATAAAATATATTTTTTTTTATTAAACGGGTGGTATTAATATCCACAACTTTATTATCATTTTTACTACATGCAAATGTGCTAAGACAATTAATATAGATGGTAGGCGACATCATAAAGTCTATTGCCGTACATTTTTTGCCAAACACCTAAATAAACACATTATAAGGTGTGATACACTAAAAATCTAAAATATGGTTATAATAAAAACATAGCAAAAATAATGAAGCTGCTGAAGATATGGCTGTATAACCTACAGCTCTTAGCTTTCTTTGATTAACGAGATTTTAAAAATTCTCTCTAATCTGTGGCTCATTCACAATCATCACACAGTTTCTGTTGGTGTTTTTAAAAACATGCACATATCTGTTATTTTACATGCTCTATATACCTGAATCTAATACATAATATCGGTAGGTACTTGGCTTGATTGCCCTATTTTCCTATATAAGTTATTTGGTTTTTATTATTCTAATACCTATGTGCCTATTTGCAAACATAACCTCAAAATCATTCAGTGTATATGGTTTATAGAAATTCTCAGGAGTGGCCGTCGATAATATTCGTTTCTACGGTAATTTATATATAATTTCGAATGTAGGAAACAATTTTTCATGGTTATTGGTTTTTAGGCCAAACATGTATGGAAGCTGAGCAATCTCCTTTAATTAATGCTTCATTAAGTCATGTGTTGTCTTATTCTATTGTTATCCCCAAAAAGTGACAGCATCAGCTTGAGTTAAACTTGAAGTTTCTCTGAGTGCGGACGTAAACGTTATTTGGTTAAAATGAACAGTACCCCTGGCACGAACCAATATCGAATTCAAATAGTATGCGAGTCCGTTTTATTGTCAAATTTTGTACGTAAACTTGAACAGCAGCGCCACAAAGGACGTAACGAGAACTAAAAATTAGTACACATTTAACAATGACATTTCGGACTCGCAAACGATTCGAATTCGATATTGGTTCGTGCTAAGGGTGCAGTAGTGTAGAATACCACGTATAAATCAAGCGCCAAATGAACTTCGCGTTAAGAAACAAAACTTTGATTATATACAAGCCCAGATACCGTATTCTCTGCACGGAAGCAGCCAAAAAAATATTTACTTTATTTGGTAGATAAGCTCGTCGCTACACACGCACACATTGATTGCGTTCAAACTATCTGGCTATATATCTTAGAGTCACGCAAACATTGCGCCTAACATGAGCCGATTTCTTTATGTAGATTGCTGTATCTAGGCATGTAATCGAAGGAGTAAATATAAATAAATTTACCTGGCGTAATGTGCTTTGGCTTTTGGCAAATCTTCATCTTTCTCATTCAGTAGATATTTTCTGCCACCGATGCAACATTTCCGAAAGTATTCATACTTGTCTACTTTTTCAATTTCGTAATAGAATTCCTTCATGTCCTGCTCCTTTATACGCGATCGGAGCAGGATGAAGTTCTTGTTGTCGAAAGTCCATTGCTTGGTGATGTAGTAGTGGAGGGCTAGATTCGCTATGTAAATGCGTCTTTGGATTTTAAACAACCTGAAACCGTAATTTGTGTTTTAATTTCTTACTTATAGGTGTTTCGTAAAACTCTCATGAACTCTTATGAAATAATAATTCGCCATAAGATTTCTGAGCTGAATATTCAGCAATCTTATGGCGAATGATGATGAGTATTCAACTCAGAAATCTTATGGCGAATTATAAAAAAAATATATTTTATAGAACAATTATTCTGGTACTAAGGATAACAGAAGAGTACAAAAAATTCTGATTATTAATATTCTTTTATCTTTTACATTTTATTTTTCTGATATTAATTGAAACTAAAAAACAATGATTTTACAAAACGCATTACTAATAAATGAGTATATTTCTAAAATCCCATGATTCCAATACTCACATTGGTTTTTTACCGAGTATGAACAACAATGTATCAATGAAAATAGCTGGCAGACAATGAAGTAATAGAACCTGAAATAAAAAAAAAACAAATAATTCTAATTATTTAAATGCCCGCCTAAAATCTAAAATTTTTAAATTCGTAAGAATTTGGTAAAGCCTTTGATACTATCTCATGATTGGCAATATTTTTAAGAAAAATATTAAATTTACACACTTTACAAATTGCAAGAACACGAACCTATTGAAACAAATACGATAAATAAAAAGAATGTAATAAAAATATAAATTAACCCGAGTGTGCATTATGTATTCCTCAAGACAGTGTATTGGGACCACAACTATTTGCAAGTATGTGATAAAAGTTGTCCTCTGTTTCGAACTTATCATCTATCAAAAATACCACTGTATGAATTTCAAAACAAAGTCTGTCGCCATAGATTTGCGAACCGATGGCGTAGTTTATCGGTATTCATACGACGGTGCTTATAAAAGCCTTTACTGAATAAATTAATTTGAGTTTGTTTCTTTCACCTTGATATAATGTAAAGTCTTGCTTGTAGTGATGGATCCACCGACGTTCCAAATCATGTCGTTAAGAGGTACGGTTGCGGCCAGCTGTTTACCAATATCAACCAACTCAAACATAGTGATGTTGTTGAGGTTGCCGGCACAACAGTTGTAAATCGGAATGTCATCCGTTGGTTCCAATCTAGAGTAAAATAAAAAATGTAAAAATAAAATCTCATAAACCGACAAGCATACATTCGAACTTTAAATATCTAATATTGCAACAGGGCAATGAGGATTCATAACGATTTTAGTCCAAAATGATTTATAGAGCTAAGGATTCCACAAAATACAGTAGTTAAATTTTTGTTCTACGACAAATATTGACGTAGTTATGACCAAATTACTAAACGAATTTTCGACTGACCGCGTGGTGGCTGTGACGTCACAGAGCTCTAGAGACGCTACTAAAGTTCGACCGAAGTGAACCACGATCGAGCTCTGTGACGTCATACGTTTCTGCCACCCGTGAATATTAACTACTCCAAAATTTGTTATAAAATCGCAAAAAATTAACCGATTTCGATGATATGAAAAATATATTCTTTAAAAAGTTTATTAAATCATTATTTTATCATTACTGATTGATCCTTCTTGTTATTAATATTAATCAAGTGCACAAAAGGACAAATAGCGATGATGACGGGGTAAATGAAATTACATTTAGTCCATCCGTAAAATTATCAAAAAATAATGGGCACTTGACTTTGTTGTCAATAAACCAAAAAGTTACAAAGATAAAACGCGTGTAAGTTTGGTAATGGAAGCTCGGACGTCACGTCTAAGTAAAAATTGCACCAAGACGTGACGTCATGCGACATTTCAAATCAATATATATCTGAGATGTTTAGATTATGTGAAAATAGGAAAAATACGAGCCCAAGCCTTTTTGATAATCTAACTGATAGAAGAAAGAAAATTGTTAGTCATCATTGCTATAATTGTTATGCTATTGTAAAAGATCTGTTTATCAAAATAGTTTTCAAGTTGAGTTTCTATGTCTTCTATAGTAAGCCACTGATATTGCTTAGTCTACAGCATGGAGGTTAGAGAGAAGGAGAACGATCGCTACGTGCTAAAGCATTAACCCACCTGTCGACTTTTTGGCGGGATCGGGAAGCGTACTTTAGCAGTTTTGTTTTTCTTGTTAGAAATTGTGTTGTAGCGGATGTTAGTGTCTAATAATGGTGGATTATTAATCACTAAGTGTTCGGAAACAAGCACAAGTGTTGGCAAGCGAAACAAAATAGCGGAAAGTGTCTTTCGAAGTTCCCTCAAGAAGTCCACGGGGAGGTTCCAGTAAATCCCCACACATTTACTGAAACATAGGGAAATGGGGATTGACTTGACTGCCACTTACTTTGACTTGACTAATATTTCGACCACGAGTGCTATAGAATATGTAAACATTTTACATTTGAGATTGGCTAAATGCACCAGCCGTGCGAAACCATATAGAAAAAAAAACCCGCCTGTCCCTGAAAATTTGTATAATTTATTAGGGGGGGGGGGGGGGCATTGCACGAGCTCTCTTGATGCTGAGGCATCTTCATCGGGGTGGGTCCGAGGGTTCGTTCCGCGATCACACCCGCACTCCCGGCGTGCTGTGGGGGGACTGCGGTCCTCAGAATTGTACGCCGGGTGACCGGTGCAGGAGAATTGGTTTTTAGTGGCCCTGTTCAGGGCGTTAGGTAGGGCCCTGCTCATTTCACCCTTCCTAAGGGCTGGCTGAAATGAGTAGGGAGGAGTCCCACATACCTTCTTCTCGCTCCGTGTGTATTCTGTTAAGAGTATTTGTATCCTTGGTTTATCTTACGTTTGTCTTTATTGCGCCCCCGTCATATTAGTTTTTTCTCACGCTCTTACTGGTCGACTGGTAGAGAATGCCTTATGGCATTATGTCCGCCATTTGCTGTGTTATGTTGCAATAAAGTTTAAATAAATAAATAAAAATAAAATCATGGAGTTACTAAGAATAGTGTTTCATGTTCTGTGTTGTTACAGTTATCATTACTATCTACTTACTTCTTGGTGCCTCTTAACCACGCTGCTGCTATAATACCCTTTATGGAAACATCCACCGGTATATAGTCGGCTATCAGATTTGGATCAGTGTACAAACTCCGCATTATGCCTGTAATAAAATAAATAGTGTGTGTAAATCTTCTTTTCTTAAATAACCTTACATTAGGCGGTGCATAAGGCATAGGGGAATGGAGCAGCGCACGCATCACACATATGCATGTATATACAGGGTATTACAAAAATACAAATAAAGCTTGAAGGGTGTTGAAGTAATCATATAAGGAGTCTTCTCTAATTTTCTTAAAATATTTGCATGAAGTTTTAACTTTTCATAATAACAGTTATTTTTAATGATCCTCGAACTAGTGACGTGTCTTAAAATGATCGATATTTTTATTTATCATTAAAAATAACTGTTTTAATAAAAAGTTAGGACTTCATGCTAATATTTTAAGAAAATTAGAGAAGACTCCTTAAACGATGTACTTCAACGTCCTTCAAGCTTTATTTGTATTTTTGTAACACCCTTTATATATATATATATATATATATATATATATATATATTACGTAATACTTGAACAGCCCCATATATATGGGGTAAGAACTATAGGGGGGCAGGGGGGGCTTTGCTTATTTTTGATGACATGGGGGGGTGGGGAGTAGAGATGGTGATTACGTCAGCATCATCGATTAAGCCTTTTTAAGTACTGCTGCTCATGAAGCTCATGAAAGCTGAATCAATACAAAAAAACAGAATACATTAAAGGAAAAATGCATATAGGTACCAATGTTTACGGAAGGATGGGGGGAGGGGTAAGAGCTTTGCTTACTTTTGCTGACAAGGGGGAGGAGGGGGTAAATATTTGTAATAAATCTGCTTACGTAATACTTGAACGGCCCCTATGCATGTATATTTAAGCATGTATATATATATATATATATATAAATTGTAACGTGTGACGCTCGTAGCGTTAGAGTCTTCGCCGAGTTATCTTCCAACTTTCATGCTCGTCGGGAAAAGCTGGCCACGCATCGTACACACACACACACATACACACACATACATCTTTATATATATAATTCTTCTGTGAGTGTGTATGTCACTGAACTTCTCTTAAACGACTGGACCGATTTTGATGAATTTTTTTGTGTGTGTTCAAGGGGATCTGAGAATGGTTTAGATTCACAATTTTGTCCGCTGGACAACCCCTATTTTTTTAGGGCGGTACGAAGTTCGCTGGGTCAGCTAGTGGTACCAATTCTGGCGTGATTCTCTAAACTTAAAACTAAATTTTACATCAGTCTCTCCTTTTCATTCTGTATAAAGAATGACAAGGATGTACTGCTGTCAAATTTAAGTTTAGGTGTAGAGAATCATGCTAGAATCGACACCAGTATATATTTATAATTCTTCTGTGAGTGTGTATGTCACTGAACTTCTCTTAAACGACTGGACCGATTTTGATGAAATTTTTTGTGTGTGTTCAAGGGGATCTGAGAATGGTTTAGATTCACAATTTTGTCCGCTGGACAATGTTTTTTTAATTAATTTTTTTTATGGCGGTACGAAGTTCGCTGGGTCAGCTAGTATATATATATATATAGTCGTATGACGCTCGTGACGCTATTCCGTTGTATCTTTACCATAAGGTGTTTCCATTAACACCCCACCGAAAAGAAGTTTTACTTCAAAAAGTCTGTCATTCTGATGACCCTCTTTCCCAGTGGGCACTTTGGGGAAGTGCCCAGGGCCCCGCGATCGATAGGGGCCCCATCAAATACAAAGTCCCTAGTTGCTATTAGATCACCAAACGATAACCAATATTTATTACCAAAAAACTTATTTAATTCGATGAAATCGATCCTAAATGACTGACTACAATACCAACTTACTAGCTTTTACATAAGCGAAGCTATTCTACTCTCGCCCAAAAATTAGGCTTTCCGACTTCAGCATGCTTAGATAAATTATGGTATACTAAGCACATACACGTTTTAAAGAAAAAATATTCTATATGCCCAGGGCCTCCAATAGGTTAAAGACGGCCCTGTCTATCATATAACGTTAATTATATAATAGGTTAATTAATGACTACTTTATTAACGACCTTTAAATTGATAGAGATTTAGACCTTTGCCAAATACCTTAAGAATTAACTTCAGTATGCATATTAGATTTTCAGCCCGGATAGCGGAAGGTGCAGGTTCAAATCCTGTTTGAAGCCTTATTCTAGTGGAATTTTGAAGTAAAAGTTCTTTACGCACGCTTGACTTGGGGAGTAAGCTGGCGAACGCAGTACGAAAAGTGAATTGTGGCGAGGCGAACGGGAGTTGAGCGGGGGATATAAGGAAGAGAAAGCAGTGCGCGCGCACATTTTCTTTCTCTCTTTCTCTTATAGCTAGTAAATGTAATATGTATATGTACAAACATGTATATCGTGTACACAAATATATATATATATATAGATACAGATGGAGCTACAGAAATTTCACTTAAGTCGTGTGGTCATAAGGACACTCGTTTTTTTTTGTAGTTAATTATCTTTAGATTTATTAGAAAGTTTATTCTCACCCTTTCCACAAGCGACTAGTAAACCGACTGGGCCGTTGAAATTTTCTATCCACCCAGGGAATGGCTCTTCGACACTGGATATCACTGAAAAGTCAATAAAATCTACCAATATGTTTGTATTTGACAAGCTGTTTAAAAAGTTCGTGGGTTATATAATTTTGGTGCGTATATCAGTAAAAAATCGAAAATACATCACCATCATAATCAGCTTATTAATGTCCCCACTGCTGGGGCACAGGCCTTCCCAACGGATGGAATAGGGAGATTGGACCATGACCCACCACGCGGGCCCAGTGCGGATTGGCGGGTGGTAGCAATTGCAGATCAAACCGGGACCAACGGCTTAACGTGCCTTGCGAAGCACGGAGGAGCTCGTGATAAAAGATTTTTGGTCATCCATCCAATGACCGACCACTGCGAAAGTTGCCTAACTTCAACGATTGCAGCCGAACGTGCTAACCACCTGCGCCATTGAGTTCCTCGAAAATACATAATTTTTGCTTAACATAATGTTGTCCAAGCAATAGCCAGCCATAGTAAAGCCGAACAACAAAATTTTTCCGCAGCCTAACTTTTTACAGATGTTACGGTAGGTCGTAAGAAGCTTGAGTTTAAAAATCTGGGAATGTAGGGTGGTCACAACTGACTGCCATTTTGGAAAACGTGTTATATATATGTAGCATTATAATCGCCATTGTCTTATTACCAGCGTTTTCATAAAATCCCTAGGATTTTCGCGAACATTCGATTCATCAAATCATCCTACGACATGTACACCGGTTTTCAAGGTGTCCCCTAATCAGAGGGCCTATTTCTTGGTAGGTAGGTAAGAATCCCGTTGGGACAAATGTTTGTAATAAAAGAATACGAGCATTTGTACCAAAGTCAAAGTTGTCTATATATCAATTTTTCTAAAAAAAATGAAAAAACAAGCGTTTAAAGAAAGCGCTTACCAATGGATGGTCTAATGATCACGGCAGGAAGCAGACCCTTGTTCTCGTACACTACATGCTCAGCCAGTTGTTTGGTGAATGTGTACGTATTCGGTATCTCGCCGAGATATCTGAAAAATTCATAATTTGAGAAACATTGAAGGCCTCAATAGGAAATTTTAGGGGAGGTAGAGCATAGCGGGAATTCCGCTCGAAAAAGAGCCCCCGTCGGGGGAAGTTACCTCCACCTGAATGAAAGAAGACCACAGTAAAATAACACTGCCCTTTAGTGGTATTGCGATTCTGTCGGGGAGTAATGTTACTAACCCCCAAGGTTTGCCAACCCAACTATATAATATAGTATCCTATCATATTAAGGGATCATACACTATATTTCAAAAAAAATATAGTATAATTTTTATTTTTTAAGCATGTAACTGCTTTATGTTTAAATCTAAAGAAAATATAACTAGAAAAAAATCCACGCGGACCAGGCAGCAGACGGGACTTGAACCCTTCGCTATCCGGGCGAATGCACATGCTCCAGACGGAGAGGAGACTCCCCCCGTGGGGCGATGCCGTCCGCCTGGAATACTTCTAGTGGCACTTGCCAATTCTCGGCTTGAGATCCCGTCAGGATCTCGCCGTCCCCAAACCCGGTGACGCTGTAAAGGTCATCTGCGACCAACAGCATACACACTCAAAAAAAATGTCTTTCAGTTGTTTTTTGCTATTTTTATGTTCTTAAGGCATCCGGGCGGATGCACTGACCATTATACTACGGCGGCCCCAATTGCCCATATCGAATTTTCTCTAGCATTTCTTAGGCTGCAAAGCCAAATGAATACCTTTACAAGTATTAAACACTTGTATGCGAAGAGATGGCGTTACCTTGCAGCCTAAGAACTAAGCAATACTAGAGAAAATTAGGGTTGCGGTAAAATAATGGTCAATAAATCCGCCCGGGAAGCGGAGGGTGCGGGTTTGAGTCCCGATTGCGGCCTGGTCCGCGTAGAATTTTTTCTAGTAAAATTTTCATCGGGCAAAATATAAATATAAATCAAAACATACTCACTTAGGTGTCAGCACCCGTAATGAATGCTCGTCTATGGACTCGCAGACCTGCATGGTATCCCTCCAGTCGGCATGAGGGGGGTACATCACCTCCTCTATCACTTCGCGGTTGGTATTCGAATACGAAGTCGATACGTGCACCAGAGACTTGAAGAGAAAAGAAAAACAGTGAGGAACTAAAGTTCTTTTTTATGTTAAAAGCGTGGGAACAAGCGTATAGCCCGCCTGATGATAAGCAGCCACCATAGCCTCTAGGAGGAGCTGGATGGCGCAAGTGGTTAGCGCGTTCGGCTGCGGTCGTTGAAGTTAAGCAACTTTCGCAGTGGTCGGTCATTGGATGGGTGACCAAAAATTTACTCTCTCGAACTCCTCCGTGCTTCGGAAGGCACGTTAAGCCGTTGGTCCCGGCTGCATCTGCAGTCGTTAGCACCCACCAATCCGCACTGAGCCCGCGTGGTGGGTCATGGCCCAATCTCCCTATTCCATCCATAGGGAAGGCCTGTGCCCCAGCAGTGGGGACATTAATAGGCTGATGATGATGATGATGAGCCTCTAGACGCTTGCGATACCAAGAAGAAGATTAGTCGTACCGTTGCCTACCCTAACCTAATCTCCTAGACCTGAAGCTCTGGAAGGTTATTCCCCGACAGAAACACAACACCACCAAAAGGTAGTGTTATTTTACTAAGGTTTACTGTAAGGTGAAGGTCCCCAGATGGGCGCTCGAATTCGAGCGTAAAGTCTGCTATGCCGAGCTAAAATCCCCATGCTCGGAGGTAGATCTTCCCCTTTGGCCTTCCTACACTGGTAACCCTCGACTGAGCACAGCAGCAGCAAGCAACCTTCAACCATCGCAGCGCCACCCATCCTTTTTTATTATTGTTAAGAAAACCCGTGACGCATACCCCGCCCCTAGGTGAGAGACGGGGTTATGTGGGACTTCTCCTCCCCCGAAATCCCGCCCACCCGCTCAGCCAAACTGGCTCAGCGGCTGCTCGGGATGAGGGGGGTAGCCCCCCACCCACTAAAACACAGCCTTGGGGCCAGTTGCCTAAAACCGCCACCCATCCTGCTTCATCAGGTCAAACAACACCAGCAGTCACACAGCAAGCCAGCATCAGCCTCAAGGTCTCAACGACGCTTCATCATCGATGGCATCATATCGACTTGGTCTCCGCATCCTACGCCTGTTACCTCACTTGTCGGCCGCAAGCACACAGGCGTGGCAGCCCTGCACACCAGCAGCTCGGACCCACCGTCAAACTACACCTGTCTCGACTCACCGTAGACTGGAGCAACTCTGCAGCACTGGCGACGAGCCTTCATCACATCCGTCTCGACTCAACGCAGACGGGGGCATTCTGCAACACCCTGGCACTTGCAAGCTCTGACGCACTGCCTGCTGAAAAACACTATCGGCCTCCGGTTTCGGGGGGGAGTGATGTGGCAGCGACATCTACATGCCCCACGTATAACTAATATGAAGGAAAATAATCACTCCCCTCCTCAAGAGATGGCGCAACCGGCGCTGCGCTCACAACGTATGGAAGCCTGCATCGCGCAAGTAAAATTCGGAGGCATACACTCTTATATACAATGCCCGACCAACATCAGTCGGGCCGCGGCCCCCGAGATTCATCACACAGTTCGGAGGAAGATCTTCCCCTTTGGTCTTCCTACACTACCTAGCTTTCATTAACTGTTGTTAAAACAATCCAATACTTACAGACAAGTTGCGAACATCCTTGGCGAAATCGACAATCTCCTTAGTGCCTCCCAAATTCAGCTTAGTAGCATATGGTAGGGGATCGTCGAATCTGCAAATATTCATACTGTTCAATTAGGGTTTGTTATCTAAATTAACCAAAGTAATAAATTTATAAAAACCCACCATAATAGGTATAACTGGATATCGTAGTACGTCAATAGCAAAGTAGTTAGAGCAGACTCATCGTACCGTTTTATGAAATACGTAGCTTAAAAAAACTTACTTAAGACCGTATTCTGCGCAATTTATAAAAAAAAACTATTGTTAACGATCTATAACTTAAACAAACTACATCTTTCTTTTGATGTATAAATTATTAGTATAAAAAAACTAAAAACACGCTTTTATATACTGCACTAAAAAGCCCAAAATAAACAAAATATACTCTCTATTTACTTCATTACGGACTTAAAGTTAGCCATGTTTATAGTTTATCTTGTTTGCCGATCCCGATTGAATCCGGACCCCGGGCGTGCATAGAGGCCACGACCTCTACGGTTATGCAGCTCGTCGGTGAGTGGGGGGCCCGTAATAGGTTGGAATTCTCTCCTGCAAAGTCTGCAACTATGACGATCAGGGGAAAATTCCATCGGCCACCCAACATCTGCTTCGGGGGGACTTCCATCAGGAGCGTGACGTCGACCACTGTGCTGCGTGTGGCGGTCTACTCGAGTCTATCGTTCGCGCAGCATGCGACGTCGATAGAGGGCGGCAAATTGCTTCGGCAAGATGTCGAGAGTATCGGCGGCTTCTTGGGGAGTTCGGTACAAGGCCTTAAGGTTTTGTACCGCGGTGACGTATGCTGCGACATGTTGGTACGAGCGTGCGTCCCTTCACGTTGTGCGTAGTGAGACCCGCCTTGATTTTTCTGACCAAGGCGTACCGGCCGACGAGCTCTGTCGCTTTACCGGCCTTGGCTGGTGTCTTGCCGGCCGACCTCGAGGTAACTCGGGCAGGCAGACTAGGTGATGCACGCGAGTCCACGGTTACCATTGAGGAGCTTCGGAGCGCCAAACTCAGGATCACTGAGTCCGTCAATGCCAAATGGCAGAGACCGTTGGGACACGTCGGAACAGGGGAGGGAGCTATATCAGTTTTTTCTGGAAGTGGAGGCCCAACTCAAGTATACTTAGGTCGAGCCTGACTATGAAACATCGCAACTGCTGACGGGACACAGCTGTTTCGGGGGTAGGCTTCATAGAATGAAGCTCGCGGAGGTGGGGTCGTGCTACTGTGGGCAGGGAGAAGTAGAGGACGCATACCACGCTCTGTGGGAGTGTAAGCTCTACGGGGAGGCGCGTAGGGAATTTCTGGACAATGTGAAGGTGCTCGAGGTTGGGCCGGTCTACTATCGCGACCTTGTGGGATCGGAGGCGAACTTCAGGCAGCTACAGAACTTCGCGTGTAGATGGCACAGGATTCGGAGTGGACTCGAGGGAGGCGAAGAAAGAAGACAGGGAGCAATACTAGAGGAATAGGAAATGGAGGCTAGCGGTACCACTACATAGTGGGCACCGCACGGCTGGGATAGATAAATATTTATTTATTTTTATTTTTTTCTCACGCAGTTTCAAGCAGAATTAATTGGCGACTAGATACACGTTTCGTCAAAATCAATAACGGTAATTATAAGTAAATTATTTTCAAAGATTTTCGCTTGTTTGACATCACTTTTTAACATAAACAAAATACTCGCCTCACACTGGCTGCCACGTGGAATATGATATGCACCCTGTTCACCAAGAGTGTTCTGTCTTCCTCTGACAAACCTGAAATAAGCAAATGAAATTATTAATTAACTAGCGACCGCCCGCGACTTCTTACGCTCGTTCCCCGTAGGTGAAAGGTAGGAAAAGTGATTGATTGAATAAGGCAGAAGCCTGTGAGATATCTTCAACATATTGAAATGCGGGGCTGCTGTTCAAGTTCCCAAACAAAATTTGACAATTACACTTCGCACTCGCAAATTATTCGAATTCAATATTGGTTAGAACTATTATCGAATTCGAATAGTTTGCAAACCGAAATTTCATTGTCAAATTTTGTATGGAAACTTGAACAGCAGCGGCACAAAGTACGTAACGAGAACTAAAAATTAGTACACATTTGACAATGACATTTCGGACTCTCAAGCGATACGAATTCGATATTGGTTCGTGCTAGGGGTACTGTACCCCTAGCACGAACCATTATGGAATTCGAATAGCTTGCAAACCGAAATGTCAATGTCAAATTTTGTATGGAAACTTGAATAGCAGCTTCACAAAGTACGTAACGAGAACTAAAAATTAGTACACATTTGACAATGACATTTCGGACTCTCAAGCGATACGAATTCGATATTGGTTCGTGCTAGGGGAATTTCGCTGTATATGTCAAGGTCAAGGTCTCCCGCCGTAGATTTGCAAACATGGCATAGCTTTTCGACATTTACAGGTGCTTGTAACAGCCTAAACTGAATAAACGATATTGAATATATCTCCTATTAAATTCACCTAAAATACAAATCCATAATAATTCTCCATCCATGTGATAAACTATATGCGTACTCCCCTCGCCCCGCGAACACAAACGGTCAAATTATGCGTGTGAATTGCATTACATTGTGCCTTGAATTTGATATCCAATTTCAAGACACAATTAAGCTGAGTCAATGAAACTAATGTATTATGCATTTATTCTTATTGTTAAACGTAGTGTCACTGTATATGACCCCATTTCCGTTCGTTATGCCTACATAAAATAATCTTTTAATTTCTTCTGGCGATCCTCTAATAGGCATGATGACGGGTAAAGTAAACAAAATTCTATTTAGTCCGTCAAATAGATGATCAAAAAATAATGGACGCGTATTTTTTCTTTGGGCAATCAACCAAAAAATGACAAAGTTATAGCCCGTCAAAGTTTGAGAGTAGGGGCTCGTGACGTCACTTTTAAGTGAAAATTATACCAAAACATGACGTCATGCGACTTTTCAAATCAATATATCTCTGCAATGTTTATATTATGTGAAAAAAGAAAAAATACGTGTCCAATACTTTTTGATAATCTACCTGATAAACGAAAAAAAATTAGTCATCATCCCTAAAAAGTAATCAAAATCATTTATTCAGTTTAGGCACAACAAGGACTCATGAATGTCTAGAAGCTACGCCATCGGTTCATTAATCTACGGCGGCAGACTTCGTACTAAGAAGAACCTCCAAGGGCTGTTTTTTTCTCCCTGTTTTATTATTTACAGAATCGTCAAGTTGAAAAATGATTCACAGATGATATATGAAGTCAACTTTCATTACATAATGATTAATTATACATTAATTGTTTACCTGCATTTTGTTTTCTTTGTCATACAGTTTAAATAGAAATAGTGTTATTTATATCAAGTGTAACTAGATATTAACATCTTCAACATCAAGGAAGTTAGGGCTGACTCATCTCTGCTGGCAGCACCCGTTCACGAGCATGACGCATGAACCAGCCATCGCTTCCCTCAACCATATTTTAGGGAACGTAACGACCCGCCTCACACGACACCGCCGAAGAAACTTTATAACGTTTTCAAAGTTCAAGTTATTTATGTATAAATCTAAAGAAAAGTTTACTAGAAAAAAAAAATCCACGCGGACCAGGCAGCGGACGGGAATCGAACCCGCATCCTTCGCAATCCGGGCGAATGCACTGGAACCTTACTTAGGTTCCAGGGCTCCACGGTGTAGGAAATTGGGTCAAAGTAGGCAACGGTGCGAATGGTATTTTTGGCATCGCAAGCGGCTATAGACTATGGTGGCCGCTTACCATCAGGTGGGCCATACGCTTGTAAGTGCACCCTTTTAAGTGTCGCCGCACACGGACCACCGACCACAACCACAAAACGCCGCCACCGGCATATTTATTGTAGTTTTCATACATTTTATATGGACTCGCCACACACGGTACGCCCGGTGGCCGCCACACGTCACTCGCGCGATTCCCCACCCCTCTCTCCCTTACCTTAGTCGGACGCTGTCGCGCGCTTCAGCCACTTTAGTAGCCGCTTCTAGCTTCTCCTGGCGGCGTTTGTGGCTGTGGCGTATGGCCCGTGTGCAGCGACACTAATATAAAAAAGTATAGCAAATTTTCTTACCCAATCCAGGCTCCATCACATCTCCTGCCACGATGAACACTTTGGATAGGAAAATGTCTGGTTTCTCGTTTCGCAGTCTGTCAAACGCCTGTGAAATTGTGTTAAACAATAAATAAAAGAGGTGTGGTGGCGACATCTACACACCCCACATAACCATCTTGGAGGAAGAAATCACTCGCCTCGTCAAGAGATGGCGCAACCGGCGCTACACTCTTAAAGTTTGGAAGCCTACATCGCGCAAGAGAAATTCTGAGGCTAAGTCTTAATATATGCAATGGCCAACCAATAGCACACACGCAAGACAACGGCTAACTAGAGCCGAGGTCCGAGTCTCAGAGTCTCCCTCTAGTTGAGCCGACTCCGTTCGAGTGGTTTAGAAGCTCCAGACGGAGAGGAGACTCCTCCCCTCGTGCGAAGATGCCAACCCGCCTGGAATACCTCTAGGGGCACTCGCCAACTCTCGGCTTGAGATCCCCTTAGGATTTCGCCGTCCCCAAACCCGATGACGCTGTAATGGTCATGTGCGACCAACAGCATACACACTAAAAAAACTGTCGGGCCTCGGCCCCCGAACTACATGAGGGAATGGCTCTTCCTACAGAGCTAGAGGCATCAGAGCACCATAACAGCAAAGTTTAGGGTACCATAGTCAGCAAGAAACAAGTATAGTTTCACTATGTCTGTCTATTATAAAGGATGACAATCTGCCTCCTTTGTAGTGGAGCCTAGGCCGAATAGTGGAAGTTTTCCCTGGCAAAGATGGTATCTCCAGAGTGGCCAGCATCAAAACCGCCAACAGTACCATACGCCGCGCATTCAGTAAGATTTGTCCACTAACATTGAACGATTGACCAATAAGAAGATGGGACTTCAGGCTTCAGCAGTTGGAAGCTATACCAAGGCGGGGAGAACGTTGCCGCATCCCGCAACAGAGTTCTTTAAACATCTGTATTTCTTTACGATTTTTTAATTTACTCTTTATATTAAAATTGACAATGTATTTTTTACTACTTCTATAATATTTGAGACAATATACGCACGATTTTTCACCGCAAGAAAAACGTTTCTTTTCTCAATTATTCCGATTCATGATTAACATGAAATTTGGTGTAGGTCTGTCCGTTATTCGTCTGTCTGTTTTTAAAGCTTATAGAAATGATCGAAGTCTACTAGAATAAATAAACAGAATGTTGAACATTATGCCCAAATATATGTTCTCAAGTTCAATATAATTATGTTCGTAAGCAGCTCAATGGCGCAGATCGATAGCGCATTCGTCCCGCGATCGTGGAAATTAAGCAACTATCGCAATGATCTGTCATTGAATGGGTGACCAAAAACTTATAATCTCGTGCTCCTCCGTGCTTCATAGAGTACGTTAAGCCGTTGGTCCCATCTGCATCTCCATACGTTGCCACCCGCCCGACCCAATCTCCCTATAATTTTCAAGAGAACGTACCATGGCGTTGTAAATCTGCGCCAGTCTATCATCTGCTTTGACACCCTTCTTTGATCTCATCAAGAGGTAAATCCGGTCCAAATCAGAACACGAGTACAGAAGCTTTTCTATCAAAGCTTTTCCCAAAAACCCTGAAAGAAGGTAAAAAGTTAAGTGTATTTACTCTAACCTACTACTGGCACATAGGGACCTCGCACCGGGCAGCGCAGTGTCGGTAGACCTACAGCTAACATACTCGCACACTAGCTTAACATTAGGCAGACACCGCACCCGTAGGATAAGAGTGTGGAGACCCGGTCTACACTGGGCGTTTTTCTCCGCCCCTAGACTAGAGCCGAGGTCCGAGTCTCAGCGATGCCTTCTAGTTGAGCCGACACCCACAGATTCGAGTGGTCTGGACGGAGTGGAGATGCCATCCGCCTGTAATACCTCTAGAGGCACTCGCCAATTCTTGGCTTGAGGTCCCCTTAGGATCTCGCCGTCCCCAAACCCAGTGACGCTGTAAAGGTCATCTGCGACCAACAGCAAACACACTCAAAAAAAAAATTACAAGCGAGTCGAGGGAACTACTGCATGCGGAAAGCGCAGGATCCTTGTATATGGAAATCCCTTGAAGAGGCCTATGTCCAGCAGTGGACGTCCATCGGCTGCCGATGATGATGTTTACTCTCGTCTTCTAGACACTCAAATAGAAGTCAGGTAAAACCAACGCAGGGAGGTCGTTTCACATCCTAACCGGGCTGGTTTTTTATAGTCTTCGAAAGCAGACGAGCAGACGGGTCACATGAAAGAGAGAATTGGAGCAGCCGTCTGGGAGAGTAACCTCCATCTTAAAGAAGACCTACCTTACCTGACATAATCGAATACTTATGTATGTTTTGTATGTATATGTGTGTATCTATGTGTATATATATGTGTATATCTTTTCTTTATATTATATTTATATATATATATATATATATATATCTTTATATATAATTCTTCTGTGAGTGTGTATGTCACTGAACTTCTCTTAAACGACTGGACCGATTTTGATGAAATTTTTTGTGTGTGTTCAAGGGGATCTGAGAATGGTTTAGATTCACAATTTTGTCCGCTGGACAACCCCTATTTTTTTAGGGCGGTGCGAAGTTCGCTGGGTCAGCTAGTATATATATATATACATATATATATATATATATAATTCTTCTGTGAGTGTGTATCTCACTGAACTTCTCTTAAACGACTGCACCGATTTTGATGAAATTTTTTGTGTGTGTTCAAGGGGATCTGAGAATGGTTTAGATTCACAATTTTGTCCGCTGGACAACCCCTATTTTTTTAGGGCGGTGCGAAGTTCGCTGGGTCAGCTAGTATATATATATATACATATATATATATATATATGTGTGTGTCTGTATATATTGTGTATAATATGTGTGCATTCTGTTGAGATTATTCTTATCCTTAGTTTATCTTACATTTGTCTTTACTGCGCCCCCGTCATATTAGTTTTTTTTTCTCACGCTCTTACTGGTCGATTGGTAGAGAATGCCTTATGGCATTACGTCCGACATTTGCTGTGTTTTTAGCAATAAAGTTTAAATAAAAAATAAAAAGATAAATAAGACCACAATGAAATAAAACTACCTTTTGGTGGCAATGCGTAAAACACATAATCTTCAAAATTATGATATTATATTTCACCGGTAAGTATAATTGCCTTACAAAAAGGTTAATCTTACTAATATTATAAAGACGCACTAATTTATGAAATAGTCTCTTGTTTCTCTTTTTTTCTAATATTTTATTGTGTGTGTACAAAATAAAACAATAAATAAATAAAGGCGAAAGTTTGTGAGTGTGTATGTTTGTTACTTCTTCACGTCTAAACGGCTGGAGCGATTTTAATAAAATTTGGTAGGGAGTTAACTGACACCCTGAATTAAGACATAGGTCACGTTTTATTGTAGGAAAATATCCCTAATAAACCGCGAGGCACAGCTAGTAATCATATACATATTTACCAGATCCTCCTGTGATGAAAATCGTCTTCCCTTTGTAATATTCCCGTATGTCGGGAACATCGTTCAAATCTCTGTCTTCGAGAAATCCCATTGCGATATACTAAATCTGTAATCAAACAAATATAAACTTTGTTAGTTGTTATGTTTTCATAATGTCAACATATTTTATTTTTGTTACATTAATTAATTATTATGTAAAATGGTAGCAAAGACGCATTTGGTCCTCCCACAGATCTAGATTGAAGAAGATGCCGCATGTACTTCAAATTTTATGGAAACCAAGCGTGGCAGATTTTGAGTAGTTAGTATTACGAGAACAATTAAATGGTGAAAAAGCATTTATGTCTGTGTGTCTGCCTGATCACTCGCGTCGTTGCTTACTCTGACTCTATTCCCTATTCTATGGAACCCTGGAACTACAGTGGAACCGTAATCATCGACAGAAACACAACACGACCAAAAGGTAGAGTTATTTCATTGTAGTCTTCTGTAAGGTGGTTCTTCTATTAGCTCCTAATTAAAAGACGCTTACGATTTCATTTTGTTATTTCTAGCCGCCTGAGGTTTTCAAATGCCTCGCGCTCCATTTTTTTCTTCTGCATTGGTAATAAAAATATTAAAAAAAAGAGCGTGAGGTATTTGAAAACCTTCGGCGGTCAGAAATAACAAAATAAAATCGAAAGCGTTAACGTTTTCCATAGCATTTCCGTAAGACGAATGGCCCCCAGGACCGCAATAAACGCAATTAAATTTTATAATAAATTACTTAAATATATCACCGTAGAATAAAACGTAAAATTGTTTTTACAAAATTTGAAACAATATCTGTCTATATTTAAATTGAATAAATAAATAAATCTATCTATACATAAAAAAACTGTAGGAAAGTCAAACTGTACATTGAATATTTTTTAAAAGAATACTTGGGGCGTGATCTACAATCGATACCGAAGCCAAAAATATAGTTTTTAGAATTTTTGTCTGTTTGTCTGTATGTACGTCTGGGATAAACCCAAAAAGAACTGCATGGATTTACTTCAAATTTGGTACGAATATTATTAAGAAGTCGGCTCAACATATAGGCTACATATTATCACGCTATCACCCCTACGGGGAACGAGCACTGAACAGGGGTCAAAAAGTATGGGAAAATTACTAACTCCACGCGTACGAAGACGCAGGCGGTCGCTAGTTTTTGAATAAAACCTTCTATAGTATGCAAGAGTGTTTTGATGAAAGATATCGTACTTGTTATCTAAAATTTTACGTAATTTGCAATTTTTTGTTCCTCCGCCGTTACGCAAAAACTATGTACACGTAATTCTTATATGTGTCGTTCCACCAACGTTCTCAAAGAGTTCTCCGATTTGGATCTTTGTAATATATCTATCAATAGTTTAAAAAGAAAACTAAATTATATATTGATGGAAAAACCAAAAAAATAGTGTTTATGAAAATTTCTATTTGTGTTTAAGTTGTTAACATTTAATGTCAATAAATTGTTAGCATTAGATGAATACACGTGCAAATCTGACTATGTTGAGACTCTATTTGCTGCTATAAATGTAATAAACTTTGGGCACTGTTTGGTCTATTAATATTAACATATATGCATGTACCTCCATATTATGTAAATGACTGTTTGTTGCCAAAATAAATGAAAAAAAAATGTGATTGATTATAATTTGAAGAGCTCGATGGCGCCAGTGGTTAGCGCGTTCGGCTGCGGTCGTTGAAGTTGAGCAACTTTCGCAGTGGTCGGTCATTGGATGGGTGACCAAAAATTTACTATCTCGAGCTCCTCCGTGCTTCGGAAGACCGTTGGTCCCGGCTGCATCTGCAGTCGTTAGCACCCACCAACCCGCACTGGGTCCGCGTAGTGGCCCAATCTCCCTAATCCATCCATAGGGAAGGCCTGTGCCCCAGCAGTGGGGACATTAATAGGATGATGATGATGATGATTATAATTATGTGTATTTTTATTTATTTTGCATATTGATATTGTAGTACACTTCCAGGGTTCATGTTTAAATCTGATACTATGTAATTACCACAAGAAACACTAAATATATTGTATTGAATTGAATTGCTGACACCGTTGACACGTTAATCTGCTTCATGCATGAGAGTGAAAGAGACTACTTAAGTGCCACTTCAAAATGCTACAATGATGGTGTATAACCTGTGTATTGTATATATAACGTCATTGAAAATAGGGGTAAATAAATAAATAAATAAATATTTCCGACACTCACACCAATTAGCCTAGCCCCAAAGTAAGCACTATAAGGCTTGTGTTATGGGATGCTAGGGTAACGGATAGAATACATATACTGTACATATATAAGTATATTTATATAAATACATATTAAACATCCATGACTGGAGTACAAATGCTCGTATTCATCACACAAACATCTGCCCCCACCGGGATTCGAACCCGGGACCTGTCGAGTCGGCGACAGCCATGAAACCCGGCGTACAAACCACTCGGCCACGGAGGTCGTCGGGGTAAAGACGGGGTACAGTAAACGAAATTCTATTTAGTCCGTCAGTTAGATGATCAAAAAATAATGGACACGTATTTTTTCTTTGGGCAATCAACCAAAAAATGACAAAGTTATAGCGCGCCAAAGTTTGGGAGTAGGGGCTCGTGACGTCACTTTTAAGTGAAAATTCACTTATAAGTGTACTCAAACGTGACGTCATGCGACATTTCAAATCAGTACATCTCTGCAATATTAATATTATGTGCAAAAAGAAAAAATACGTGTCCAATACTTTTTGATAATCTACCTGATAAACGAAGAAAAAAAATTAGTCATCATCCCTATTACGAATACCTTCGCTTTTGGACTTTATAACCACTATACATCAGGTAGAGTAGTCATTTGCCTACCTCGCTATATAAAAAAAAATCTATGGTACGTTTCTTGATCAAGAAAATATGGTGTGACAACTACCTGCCTGCCTTATAGCATAGAGGTATAAGAATAGAGTAGGGGAGATATATACTCTTCTACAAGTGAAAGTGTCCCTCTAATAGAAAGAGACAGAAGATGAGAGACCGCTAGCTTTCTCTCTCTAATCGCGCATGCGCATTGGCAACCGTAAGCATCTTACTATTTCGATGTGATGCCATTGGAGACCATGCGTCACAAGAGAGAGAGATAGCTAGCGGCCTCTCATCTTCTTTCTCTTTCTACTAAACGGACACTTTTAGAGCCCCCTCCCCACTTCACCTTAAAGTTATTTATTAGTAAAACTATCTTTCTGCCCCGGCTTTGCACAGTTTCACTTTATTTAAACGCAATAAAATATAGTTTTTGTTACCCGGGGATAATATAACATATTAATATTGAAAGATATTTTTGAGTTTATTCGTTACAAATACACAAATTCTTTCTTCTTTTCACTTCGTCCGCGTTTAGTAACTTTAGTTTTTTGTAAATCCCTTAGGTAACTAACACTTTTCCGGGATAAAAAGTATCCTGTATCTCAAAACAAGTTATGAACTATATGCGCACCGAATTTCATCCAAATCCGTTCAACAATTTTTACGTGATTGAGTAACAAACATGCTTCTTTAAAAGTAGCAAAATCATAGGTCCATGATACAGGAACGTTAAACTTACCTCCTTGCTCTTTCAAAATAAAAACAAAACACAACACACAATAAAAAAATATAGTTCCAAAACTGTGACACCGAACGTGCTAAAGCGTTCTTTATTTGAATTCGAATCGTTCAAAAATGGCCGGACTCCACGCCGTTTGCATCCGTAATCGCAATGGTGGATTGAACTATTGATTCTGTTATTTTAATTAGTAATCAACCAACGTCACTTAAATCCGACGGCTGCGAGTCAAATGTCGGCAATTGATATTCTGTAGAATACGATGACAATGTAAATTTTGTTAAAGGGAAGTTCTCAACATGTTTAATAGGTAACTTGTGAGTTCACGCGTTCGTCTGCGTGGAAATGTTGATTTCCCATACAAACGTTGAACCACTGTTTTATTTATTTTTAATTGTTTATTTAATCTTTATTGTGTTCAAAAGGCAAACGGTGGACTTAGTGCCAGTCGACAGACAACGAACAGAGTAAAGATGAAACAATGATAAAAACGAAATTAAATAGCAATTATTAATTATAATTGCTATTTAATTTCGTTTTTATCATTGTTTTATATTATACACGGACCTCGTGATATTATATTATTACTTACACATACATACGTAATACGTATATAAATATACATTATACCGACATATATTATATAAACAAATATATACATAAATAAATACATCATCATCATCAGCCTATGAATATCCCCACTGCTGGGGCACAGACCTTCCCTATGGATGGAATAGGGAGATTGGGCCATGACCCACCACGCAGGGCCAGTGCCGATTGGTGGGTGCTAACGACTGCAGATGCAGCCGGGACCAACGGCTTAACGTGCCTTCCGAAGCACGGAGGAGCTCGAGATAGTAAATTTTCGGTCACCCATCTAATGACCGACCACTGCGAAAGTTGCTTTACTTCAACGATCGCAGCCGAACGCGCTAACCACTTGCGCCATCGAGCTCCTCGAATCCATAAAATACATATCTACCCATAATATACAGTATCTGATTATGTGTTTTTCCAATTTAGAAGATGAGATATAGAAAATCCTTTCTTAACGCACGCCTTTATTGTAATAGCTATACGTGCCTAATTTCAACGCAATCTGTTCATTGGTTTGAGCTGTAGCGTGCTAAGGCACGAACCATTATCGAATTCGAATAGTTTGCAAACCGAAATGTCAATGTCAAATTTTGTATGGAAACTTGAACAGCAGCGCCATAACTTACGTAACGAGAACTTTTTTTTGTTCTGTGGCTGTTTCCGTTTTACACAGAAATTTCGCCAATATCCCGTAGTGAGAGTGACAAGGATTTGCGGAAAATTGATCGAAAACAATTCATCGAATTACAATTCTTCGAACACAATTCATCGAAAAAACAATTCGTCGAAAAACAATTCTTCGAACGGTAATTCCAAAAAAAAAATGAAAATTTAGCAGGAGGGAGGCTAAAACGAGGTGGGGAAAGGGGAAAAAGTATGAAAAAAAAAACGTTGCACGTACAAAAGTATCGTTTCTGGCGCTTCGCCGGCCGCTGCCGCGGCACGCTCGCTCCGCTCGCTCGGCTCGCGCGTTTTTGGTCATCATACTAACCTAACCAAACCTAATGAACTCTTTAGACTTTATTCATTGCGGGGGGCTTCGCCCCCCGAGCCCCCCTTGCGGGGGCTGCGCCCCCCCGCCCCACTTCGGTTCTGTCACTAATAATATGAAATATAAAAAGCATGAAATTCTACACATTAATTTATTTTGTATACATGTTTTATGGCATTAATTGTTTCTAAAAACGCGTCTTTTTTATATTTAATTATGTTTCTGCGCCACAAATATTCTACAATCGAATCTGCAAAATCGTGCGGATGGTTATAATTATCTTTTCTGAAATATCTTTTGACAGCCCTCCACTGGGACTCGATCCTCTGCGTGTGAGTACCGTCTGGGGCAATAAATGGGTTGTCTGGATCAGAATGGTTTACTTTTTTGTTTTTCGGGGAATTACCGTTCGAAGAATTGTTGTTCGACGAATTATTTTTTCGATGAATTGTGTTCGAAGAATTGTAATTCGATGAATTGTTTTCGATGATTTTTCCGGTGAGGAGTGACAAGATATGAGAGAGAAAATTTAATATTTTATCCGAATAACCATTCTTCCTTGAGCTTTTATCATTGTCCTTCTGTAACGAGAATTAAAAATCAGTATACTTTTGACAATGACATTTCTTACTCGCAAATGTTACGAATTCGACATTGGTTCGTGCTGAGGGTACTATACGTTGATAAATCAGTCAGTCAGTAACGGTTGCCTTTCATATATATATATATATATATTTGGATGAAAAATCGTTTCTTCTTTCACCATTAAAATGCTACTTTTTCACTAAGTAAAATTATTCTATTACTAGTTTACTAGTTCCATTACTAGATCACTAGTTTATTTTTATATGCATGCAATAAGACACTTCATACCAATCAAATTAAATTAAACGTTATTAAATAATTAATATTTCAAATGCGTGATCAATTAACATTGCTAAAGAAACTCAAATATGAAATTTAATTTTTCACACTGACCTATTTACTCACAGTTTATAAGATAAAAAAACCATTCACAAAACACCGTTTTTTAATAAATATTTAGTTTCAACAAACTAAATAAAATTAACTCCTCACGAGAGATGAGGCTTAACCTTAGCACTTCTTTGTACTACTTCAGATTTAAGACATAATCAATGGATTTCAATAGTGCGAGATGAATAGGTATAATAGTGCAGGGGCTAAGCACCGTTCCAGATATTCGGTAATGATATTTTTTCAGTAAATTTACTGAAACATTATTTTTAACGGCAATCGTGTTTTTGGTGTGTTACATCTTTCCTCTCGCTTTTCTGCAATTTGTGGGAGTGATTTCTGTTACACACTTCCGTGTAACAGGAAGTCGCGAAAGCGCGCGCTATTTGATTTGATTTTAGAACATAATGTTCAAATGGTTTATTCCTTTTATAGTAAGTTTTTATTTCTTTTTTTACTAATTTAAGGTGAGGTTTCAAATGTTACACATCATACGTGACTACTGTAAGGCTCGCTCGTTTTTTAATTATTTATTTTCTAGGATGTTTATATAAAATCTTTATTCTTAAATAAAACAAGTTTCAACGGTATAAATGCGAAAAGTCATAAATAAATAAATCAGTGCATCTGTACCATAAAAACTTGTTTTATTTAATTAGTGGTGTGCGTGAAAACCTAAGAAACAAATATCTTTATTCTTGATTATACATCCAATATCACGAAAAATAATTACCGATTTACTGACGAGATTTTTTTATTTCCTTTTGTTTTTATTATTTTTTTTTCTTGTCACTCATATTCAGTTCATATTATCTAATCTCCATTCCATTTCAAATTTGATTAGGCTTAATATAACTATTTTGATAAAATAATTAATATACAACAATTTCTTTTATTGGCTTCGGTTGCGCATCGGTTTTCTATTATATTTAAATACTAGGAGTATTATTTTAAATATGAAAAAACTACAACTAATGCACTAATCAAAGGTTCATAATAGCTACAAAACAAAATAATCGTACACCAACAACTTAACAGGACTTCAAAGAATAAGAAGGTCACCCATCCGATGTGTCATGGTCAGCTGTGCAAAAGTTGCTCAACATTCGCAATAACGAGCAAAATGTACCATCATACCCTTTGATTCTAGAAACAAAAAACAAAACTCACACATAATTATTTCATATCTCCTGGTCTATAATCTGGCCTTCGCGTGTAAGTAATAAATACATTATAATTTACTGTAACTGTTTAATTCATGTTAAATACTCTTCAGTCTGGAAATTATATAATGCGTAGATAAACCTATAAGATTTCATTATATTTTTGCCTACTATAAAGTGTATAATTATATTAGCGACTGCTTGCTTGGGTTTAAACTGTTCCAAACGTCCTGGCAGGTTGTGTCTTTTATCATGATAAAACATGATATGATTATGTATTGACACATTAACAATATCATATTTTCTAATATAGTATATACAGGAACAATGAACCTTAAACTAAAGACCTTATCTTTATATATATAATTCTTCTGTGAGTGTGTATGTCACTGAACTTCTCTTAAACGACTGGACCGATTTTGATGAAATTTTTTGTGTGTGTTCAAGGGGATCTGAGAATGGTTTAGATTCACAATTTTGTCCGCTGGACAACCCCTATTTTTTTAGGGCAGTACGAAGTTCGCTGGGTCAGCTAGTAAAAATATAATATAACTAGCAAACCAGTGAACCAAATGTTCACCAAAACCTGATTTAAAAAAAAATTATTTAATTAATTGAGAACTTCGGAGATTTTGTGTGGTTTGCTATTCTTAACTTATGACTTAAATATTCTCTTTATCTATCTCTTACGGTTTGGCCGCTGAAACAGCACCACAGACAGACAGACGGACGGACTTGTCTAATAGATAAGAATAACTAAAATATATTATTAAAAGGAGTCCCGTTAGGCAAGGTTCCGAAGATACTGGCAGCGTTCCCCCTTTGAATAGCTAGACCAATTCTTTGTTCGAGGTAGCTGCCAGCTCTTCAGTCTTCAGTGACGTTGACTAACCTTTTTGATATTTCCTTAAAAAACCTTATAGCGTTAGGACCCCACGGACCATGGTCTCGACACCGAGTGGGACAAAATCATATTCGGAGCCTAGACCCCTGTATTTGCATGCTTTTGCTTTTCAGCCTCTTCACAAGCCGCACCAGCTCTGTTGTTGGTTCCATGTAGATGGGAAGGGGCCAGCGTGTCTGAACAGGTTGCATCCCATACAAGTACCCGGCCCATCTTCCACAGTTATTTATGATGTTATTGTGGTAAGTTGGTTATTACAAACGAGTAGATGAATGAGGAGCTCGATGGCGCAAGTGGTTAGCGCGTTCGGCTGCGTTCGTTGAAGTTAAGCAACTTTCGCAGTGGTCGGTCATTGGATGGGTGACCAAAAATTTACTATCTCGAGCTCCTCCGTGCTTCGAAAGGCACGTTAAGCCGTTGGTCCCGGCTAGATCTGCAGTCGTTAGCACCCACCAATCCGCACTGGGCCTGCGTGATGGGTCATGGCCCAATCTCCCTATTCCATCCATAGGGAAGGCCTGTGCCCCAGCAGTGGGGACATTAATAGGCTGATGATGATGATGATGAAGAAGAATGCAAGCCCGAGCCGAAGTCGAGGATTTACCATAGTCACCAGTTTGTAAATACCAATCCCGAACGAAAGTCATACAAAGTTTTTCAACACATTTGCGTGAAGACAGTACCTATACCTAATTTA